CTTCACCTTGAAGATCCACATGCCATCGACTACATTCGCCCTAGGTGGGGGAACTGCGTCGACGTAAGTGCCTGTGGATCTCCAAGACGCCATCTCTGAGTTCATGGCTGCTATCCACTGAGAGGCCCACTGCCCTGACACTGCCTGACGGTATGTGCGAGGAGTCGGTGGTCTCCCTCAGGGGCTAGCAGCATGGCACAAAGAGAGGGAGAAGCGGCTGCTAGGAACTCCAGCTCAAACTGCCTGTCCTCTAGAACATCACAGCCAAGGGCAGACTCACCAAGAGCGGCGGGTGGCAATAAAGTCAGCAACAGCGGCAGTAAGAGCCGACACAGATGACGGAGAGGCACGAGGGTTTGTAGCAAGAGAGGCGAGAACACGGGAGGCAACAGGACGGTAAGTACGGTAGTAGTCAGAGACAGGGGTAGGGGAGACAGGAAGAGACGACGCAGGAGGAGACGGGAGAAAAGACTCGAGCGGAGAACGACGACGGCTATAACAGAGAAGGGCAGTGCGAAGGTCGTCAACGGGAGAAGAGGAACGAGCACGTGGGGGACAGGGGCGGACACGAGAGTGCGAGACAACTGGAGGAGCGGGTTGGGAACGAGGAGGAGAGACAACAGTCGGAGACGAGTCCGGAGGAGGAAGACCGGGAGCAGGTGGAGGCGGTGAGTGGTCCGAAGAGGCGGAAGGGAGACCAAGGGTCCAAAGAACACTCACAGGTTGGAAACGCTGCTGCAAAAGTGCCTTCTGGGGCTGCTGTGGCTGCAGCTGCTGCAGCTCCTGCTGCTGCTGCTGCTGCTGATGCTGCTGCTGCTGCTGCTGCTGCTGCTGCTGCTGCTGCTGCTGTTGCTGCAACTCCTGTCGCTGCAACTCCAACTGGTGCTGCTCAAGCTCCAGAGTCTCACGCACCAACTGCTCCTGCTCCCCGCGCGCACGCCGAGAAGCAGCCTGGAAACGCGTGCCGTGACGGTGAGGAGGTGGAGGAGGCAACGAAGTAGTAGTGCCCTGACCGCCAACTCCCTCTGAACGAGTACCTCCAGCGCCAGTACCACCAACGCCAGCACCCCCAGAACTAGCACCTCGAGTGCCAGTAGCCGCAGCTCCAACACCCCCAGGACCCTCAGCTCCAGCTCCCTCAGAACCAGCACCCTCAGGACTAGCACCCCTAGTGTCAGTACCCTCAGCGCCAGTACCTCCAACCCCAGCACCTCCAGTACCAACACCTCCAGAGTCTACAGCAACATGTCGCGGGAGTGCCGGTGGCTGCTGCGGTGACTGAGAGGACAACTGTGGGGAGGGAGACAGGACCGGAAGTGCTACCGCGGGGAGCGGGGTAGGGTGGGACACACCTGACGGGGCAGGACCAGGGGGGGGCGGGGGCACCTGAGGGGCGGGAGCAGGAGGAGGAGCAGGGGCGAGGAAAAATGGAGGGGGGGGAACCGGGAGACCTCGGCTAGGGTAGCGGACGAAGTAGGACACAGACTCGACAAACTCGACTTCACGAGAGTCGAGAAACTGGTGGAGGGGTGGGTGGTAAAACGTGTAGTCAGGGGCGTCCACCGGGAAACCAAGGAAGACACTGGGGATGGCGCGAGCCGAGAGCTTGTCCGTAGAGGTGTCGCGGACAAGCGCAAGGTAGCCCCAGACACGAAACTGCGACGCAACACCAGGAGACCCGGTCCAAAGACTGGTCGGTGAAGCCCCTGGTCGGGAGACACGAGGCCAGATGTTTAGCTGGTGGGCGGCGTAGCGAACCGCGTAGGGCCACAGAAAATGGGGCACACCGGCATGGATCATGGACGTGCGGGCAATGTCCATGACCAAGCCGATGTGGCGCTCAGCAACCCCATTCTGCTGTGGGGACTCCGGAAGCGTCCAGGACTGGGTGATGCCCTGCTCGCTGCAGAACGGCGGGGCAAACTCGCCCCCACAATCGGAGTGGAGACAAACGACAAGACTACCACGGGTGGCCTCAGTGGCCAGCAACCACTTGTACAGCGTAGAAGTTACATCGGACTTCTTCGCCAGGGGGAAGATTGTGGTGTAGCGGGAGTAGCCGTCAACGACCACTAGAAAGAAGCTGTCCCTCTCAGGCCCAAGACGAGGGGCGGGGCCCCAGACATCTAAGTGGAGAGTCTGGAAAGGCGCGGTGGCCGGACGAAGGGAGGAGGAGTGAGGGGTGGCGCACAGCCGATCCTCGACGCAAGGAGTGCACGGTGGCGCAAGCGAATGAGGGAGCGACAATAGCACGCGCGGGAGACCTGAGACAAGACCCTGGCTAGCCATGCTGCGGAGACGCGGGAGGGACGGGTGACCAAGACGGTGGTGCCACAGGAAAGTAGGGTGGGCGAGCGACCGACAGGAACACGACGCAGCAACCTGACCAGATGCAGCTACCAGACCAGACGGGGCGACCTGGGGAGAGTGAGTGTGCAGTGTGTAGGGACCAGAGCAGTCTGGGTCCCGCTCAAACGTGGCCAGTGGAGCGTAAGTGTCACCGTCCACGCATGGCCCTGAGCGTGTCGCCATCCCGGCGTGACACGTGACACGCGTGTCGCCATCCCGGCGTGTCACGCCATCCCGACACGCGTTTGCCATCCCACGCCTCTGGTGACCTGCCGTTGTTGTGTGTGCGGGATGTACGCGCTGCTAGGCGCGCTGCATGTGCGAGCTGCAGTGCATGCTGGTTCTGCAGTGCGTGCAGTTCCTATTGCGCACGCGCGCGGGTGCAGGGCGGAGCAGCGCTGGCAGCGGGCAGCGCGGGGCAGCGGGCGACTGGACGGGACGGGATGACCACGGGGTAGGTAGCGCGGGCCGGGCAGGGCGTGCGGGCTGCGCTAGCGGGCTGCGCTCGCGGGCTGCGCGGGCGCAATGCGCGTGCTGGCTGCGTGCGTAGGGACGGGACGGAGCAGGCGATGGGATGGGGCTGGAGTAGGGACGGGACGGGACGGGGCGGGACAGGAAGGGGGCGGGTATCGCGGGTCAGGCAGCGCGTGGCGTACGGGACGAGGCGGGGCAGTTGCTGCTTACGAGCGGGACGGGGCAGGGCGCGACCTGCTAATGAAGGCGACGCGACGGGGCGGGGCGAGCTAACCTAGGTGAGGAACGAAACCTATCTGATACCATCTCATAGTCTAATCTACTTAGTCTTAGGGTACATTCCGCTCTTGACACAAATGTCTCAATCGCGTCATACAACCTCTGTACCAGTCTGCACCGCATTACACCTAAGTGTCGAACATTTCCACCGCACTGCATCTCTTCGATTGAGACGCGAGGCCTTTGTGACGCGCTTCAGGAATGTACCCTTAGAGTTAGGAACAACTTAGTGATGGATTAGGTCAAAGGGGTGGGGGTACAAGGAGAGTGTCGAGTGATATGCTGTACCCCCTAGCATGGAACTCATTAGAGGCTATCAAACAAAGCATACAAAACTTTGACAGAAAGGTCCTACATAGTCACATATTCTGCTCCCTAGTACATTTAAATAACTTGGTAAATGCATGCGACTCTGTTCGTCTCTTGTTTCCCGAACTTTTGTGGCCTTCATGAGATTTTTTTTCCGTCCCTGTTTTAGTTGCTCCTCGTTACGCTTTGCTGTAGAAGTTTCGCCAGGAATGTTACGGAATGACACTCATTGTAACAGATGCTATAGCCCGTCAACCAACCTGATAGATCAGTTGCAAAGGCGAATGTGTAGCTATTTTCATTTCTGTATGGTGGACACTTGGATACCGTATATCTTTTTTTTTTTTTTTTTTTGGGGTTGGAAGTACACTATATAAGTATAAAGCCACAGTCGTAACTGATGTAAGTACCCTGACTGAATTTTGGTGATATGATTGTATCGAGTCTTTTGTGTTTTTTCTGGGGGTCATTTGTTGGTGCAGTTTGTTTGTGCTGTGGGATCCATCCAATCTCGTCTAGCACAAGATGCCGAGCATTTCGATGCTTGTCTAGCCTCATCACGAACGAAGAGGACTTCATTCTACCCGTGTATTCCTCATTCCTCGACTTCAATCATGAAATGCAACGCATGTTGGGCCGATATTGAAGGGCAAGCTATAGCGACGCATTGCGGACATGTCTTCTGTGAGATTTACAGTATTTTCCCCCCCGATGTCTTCCCACGGCACAGGTGATTGACGTTTTTTACGGCAATTACCTGTCAGGCCTGGACGATGCAAAAAAGATCATATCAACGGATTCATCATGCCCGAGATGCGAGAAGATACTGTCGAAAGGGTCAGGCAATGCTATTTCGTGACGTTGTTAAGAGTGCGATGAACCGAAATAATATGTTTCTTAATAAACCAGGAACATGAAGGCTATCACGACAAGCATTGACGACACTACCGCTACCGTAAACCTCTTGTCATTTTTTCTGCTCAGCAGTAGCCTTCAATGTGAATGTAAATGACCGCCTATTTGTCTGCAGATGTTGCTCGCAGGGCTCCCTCCAGGATCAAGTAAGTATCCTCGGCCGATCCTTTTTTATAAGCTTCCACTTTCTAATCGAGGACCATACGTTTGGCTCTCTTTCAGTTATGAAATGCGCCTTTAAGGGCATCGGCTTTTATATTGGCCAGATGGAAGTTGAAAATCAGATGGCACTACAAGCAGCAGAACAGTCAAAGCAGATGCTGGAACAAATGCAAGAGAAGTACGTGGTGCATTTTGTGTAATCCTTATCTGTTTTTGGCCTAAGCCCGGCATGGTATGTATTGCAGGTTCATGGCAAAAATGGAACAAGTTCACGGGGCGCTGCAAAAGTCTCTCAAGCAAAACCATGTGTTACAAAAGGAGAAACAGAACATGGAGAAGGATGTTTCGGAACTCCAGCAGAAGTATGCAGAAAAGGCACGGTAAGACCAGTAGATTTCACATCACATTACGTTGCTTCTCTCAAGCAGCGGCAGATAATTTGCTGTGGTTATGCAGCCAAAAACGAAAGCTTGAAGAGATGTACGAGTCGTTGAGGGGCGAGTATGAGTCCCTTAAGCAAGGAACGCCAGGCTTAGCGCGCCCTTCGACTGCTCGAGTGAGAGCACAAGCTGCATATGTTCCTACACCTGACAGTATGGAGCTTGGGAGAAAGAGGCAGAACCAAGGTACAACTCATCCTTATGCAGAATTACCGTAATCTGTATATCTCTGACCACCGTTTTTTTGTTGCAGGTCCATTTCACATTCCTGGCCTCCCTGCACCTACACATGGCCGTGGGGTTGACAGTCCAGCATCAGGCGGACGCCCATTCAGCCGTCCTGAGCCCTCGTTTGAAGGAAACGATACACAAGGGTTCTTCTCAACCCCCTCCAACCAAGGGAACAAAGACAATGCTTTGCGGAATTTGCTTCTTTCTCCGGCACTCCAGAGGCCCCCATCACGAATGGGTGCACGATTTGGCCAAAGGTGATTCATTGTTCAACAACTTTTTCTCGGCCCAACAATGGTCACAACAACATATTTATGAGGCAACATACATACACTTACTGATAAATGGTATTTAATTGCATTTTGCTAAGTCGTAACCCTTGGCACTCAAGCCAGCATGTAGATTACCGCCTATATCCAGTACCATATGCTGCGTGCTGGCAAGAACTGGCCTGTGGATTACCGCCTATATCCAGTATGCTACATGTTGGTAAGCTGTTGATCCATTGCTTCAACCTCTGAGCGCCAATCTTGAAGCTTTTTAAGCTTCTCCACTTGCTCCGGAGTCAAGTTTTCAGCCGATTCCAGCGCTTCTGCCTGGCGAATCTGATCACACAACAGGACAATGGTGAAATTGCGTGAATTCCAGAAGGTTTACTGTGTAAGGCTTTATTGAGTGGAACCCATGGAACACCAGAACAAAACACCACCCAGCATTAGGTGTTTATGCGTGATGCCACATAGCAAACCTCAACGGGCAACCACAGAAGCACAAAATTATGCAACAGCCGTACCTTCTTTTTCAATGCACGTATCTTCTTTTCGATCTCAGCTTTACCACCAACTGAATCATCTGATCCAGACTGAGTTGAGTCTGGTCTGCTACCTCCATGCTTATTTGCTCCGGAAACAGTGAGGTCATCCATAGCTTCTGCAAGCTGGCTGTTAGCTTCCTGTTGGACTGAACTTCGCCTATTGGAGGCACCAGCAGCCGAACTGACACCTCCTCCAGCTCCCTAAAGGTTGAGGAGGGAGCAAGGATGAATGTATGTGTGTGCGCAATGTAGAATATGGCATGCCCTTGGGATACGAAACATAGTCATTCGTGTTAACCGATACTCTACAGGTTCAGCCAGCCCTTGCCATCTTCAAGTACGACATCATTCTTGTCAACAGCGACTTTCCACCCACCTGAGCCTTTTTCTTTTTCTTTGCTGCAGCTGCTTTCTTCTTTTGCATCTCCGCAGCCAGTTCAGGGTCCATACCGGGAGGAAGCTCCGGGCCGCTACCCTTGGGCTGCCAATACAGTCAATGAACGCAGCAGATTTTATGGACAATAGAATCGAGAATCATCTCGTATGGGCATAAATCATGTGCTGACATGCGATCTACAGCCTCACATTGCAACGCTCCTACCTGAAACTGTAATATTCAGGTACTTCCTAATAAATTAAATACAGGGATCGGATTCACAGTCGACGAGAAGGGAAGACGACGCCATAACAAGAAGTAACCTACAGAACAACACTCAAACACACACTCCCCGTGGTCCGTCCCAGCAAGAATTGCCCAAAACAGGTGATGATAAAACGACCTACACGTGATCCGCGGGCCACGTAGGTCGCCACATCCTCCTGCGCCACGTATCCCGCGCGCACACGAATCTCTTTCCGGAGCGTTCCGTCCGGTCGCCGTGACGCGGGGATAACGCGCTCATCCGGCGGAGGAATGCTCCCCGGCGGGGCTAGCCTCCGACCATCGTCCATAACGCCGGCTGGTCTGTGCGACAAAGCTATAGGACGAATCGCAATGGAGGCAAGCGCTGAGAAGCCTCTGAGCTCGAATTCTTCGTGAAATGAGGGAGCGAATTATGACAATGCAAGGTGGCTAAACCCGTGAGAGCGACTCGGGGGGCGAAAGCAACGAGCGTTGGCGACAGAAGTCTGGAAGCTGCGGGGGAGTTCAACTCCAAAGCTCGGAGGAGTGGCTAGAAATACGTCAAGGGAAGTGTTGTGGCTAGTGGAGGTAACAGGTAACAGGTATAAAAATATACCGTCGTCCTACCTACCTAAGAGCACACTTGGCGCTTCTACTTCACACTAGGCTCTGCTATCTGCTGCTTGCTCCTTGGCCCATCCTACCTACACCTCTCAGCTCAGGTGATGGCCAGATCAGGATGCTCACTGTCGCAGGCGCGAACAAGTGGTTACGATTTCGCCACTGACGCGCCAACAGTCAGCAGCACACGAAATGGAATCAGCAAAACCAGAGGACTGGGAGCATAGCAAAGCAGATGTACGCGTTTGGGTGCAAGTAGGTTCAATAGCAAATCAACTACAAATTGTACAAATAAGTATAACGCAAGTAGAACCAGATGAGAGGTTACAAAGCACCACTTGAAGTTCAAACGGTAATCATGATGGCCCTCGACACATCCTCATTTCAGAAGATTCACCCCTTTGCCTTAATCAATCCCTCTTTGCCACTGACCCTGCTGCTGCATCTCCACGCCCTCCTTCACCTGCCCCTGAACTTTCACCTGCCTGTGGAATCCCATCAGGCCCAAAAGCCTCACTCTCGCCTGCCCTATCAGCAGAGAGCACCTGAGCTTCCAGGTAGGTCAGCTGTCGCTCCAGTGAAGTCAGTTTGCTGTTCAGTGATGCCAGCCGACCCTTGGCACTCGCCTCTGGTAGAGTTGTAATAAGAAGCCGAGCAAGACAAAGAGGTGGGGAGGAAGGGGGGAGTAGGGTCACAACATGAAGAGGGATGCAGGTGGAGTGGGAGAGCAGAGGCAAGCGGTAATGAGGGGTTATAAGGCATCTCAACACCAGGAGAGAGCAAAAAAGCCCCCAGCCTCCAGGAATGCCAGCTGTCTCTATATATGCCAGCTGTTTCTCCATCCATGTGCTACCAGTTGGCCCCTGGCACTTGGCTTTGGTCCGGACAGGTATGACTGGTAGGAGAGGGGAAGAAAGAGGGGGGGTGACAGGTGCAAGGGAGTTGAGAGAGGTGCAATTGAGATGTGATGGGTCTGGAAGGGGAGTGACCTGCGTCTTCTGGAGAAGAGGAATGACAACATGGCAGGCTTTATTTGAACAAGAATAGCTTGATCAGGGCAGGTGGGCGGGCCGCTCAAGGCAGGTGGGCGAGCTACCGACCGCGAGTCCTTGACGTTGTGAAGGAGCCCAAACGGCCCTTCGCAGGCCCTGATTGGTCGCTGATGGATGGATTGACCATCATTCAAACCCTCCTTCGGGATTGCAAGGCAGGGGACGATGTCCCCGGAAGGCACTCGAAATGCACAGCAGAAAGCAGACATACAATGAAGCCACGCAGCGAAGTTTTGATGAGCAGACTAGACCGTGCCATCTCATGTCCATCGGAATAGACCTCACCGGAGCAGTCGACGGGGTCTATTTCATGCATGCAGCTATGCAGCGAAGTTGCAATGAGCAGACTCGACCGTACCATCTCATGTCCATGGCGTGCCATCGAATAGACCTCAGCGGGATGGTCGACGGGGTCTATATCATGCAAGAAAATGCGACGAAAACAAGGGAGGAGGCGTACCAAAGTCGTTGACGAAGGTGTAGATGCGGTGGATGTTGAGTCGCAGCGACTCCACGAACTCGCGGTTGTCCCAGTCCGCCTGCACCGCCTGCCCGACCTTCTTCGCGCTCATCGCGAAAGCGGGCGAAACAGGGCGGAATCTGGGTGAAAACAGCTCTCAGTCTGAGCCTTCGCACGACATGGAATAGGGTTACTATGTTTTTTTTTACGACTACGACATTGCGCGACCGAGGCCTCAACGGACGGCCCGAGATGTGTGGAAGCACAGCGTCGGGAGCATCAACCACGATTCAAATTCGATCATCGACAATCTCTTGGCTTTAGGTGCTTCGCTCGGAATTGACGAAGGAGGACGTGAGGAGGGAGGAGGTAGAAGCGCGGACGAGGCGCGTGGAGGCAGTACCCGCTAGGCGACTGAAAATCCGTTCTCAGGAGAATTGAAAAGTTTCCCAGCCTACAGATACGAAAGAGAAAGCTGCTCTATGTCGGTCGCAGTTTTCCTACGCACGTCGTTCTGAAGTATGACGTGCCAAGTGGAAGAAAAGCCCTGCAGCAACGGGTAGTGCAGGATTCAGCTAGGAATGAATGTCTTGGCGAAGCTTGACGAGTTTGCACGATTGTGGTTGCTCGTTCGTTCAATCTGAATGTTACGTGACAACGTCATGGCGATGGTATTTATCAGGAACGCCGTAACATTTGGCGAACTAAACATATGAGGTATTTCGCAGAATGTGTATCGTTAAAGTTCGACGATAACTGCACCTTTGTGCGAAATCTAGCAAATTCTGCACCTTCAGGCCATATCCTCTACTTTGCCCCACCATTCCTCCACCCTCATCGTTATGAATTCCTCGCACGCGCGATCACTGTCGTTCAGTGTCGCTCAGAGTGTCGCAAGCTCGCCTCTCCGTCGCAGGGGATGTATCCGGCGGGTCGATCAGCTGTCGCTTCCCTGCGCACCTTTCCCACGGCCGCTGGCCACATCATCTCACGCGGTCACTCCTCGTTAGCGCAGATCGCCCATTCGCAGCCTAATAATCCCGTCCATCGGTGCCGGATTCCGTTATCTGCCCACTCCACGCGGCCATTTCTTGTCGCGCGGCCGTTTCGTGCCACGTGGCCGACTCTCGCGTCGATCGGCAGCAGCGCACCGCGTAGCGTAGCCTTTTCCAGCACCCGCGGCTTTTCAGAGCATCCCACTTCAAGCAGTAGGAACATACCCCGCGCGCACCGCGCTCCGCGCCTCCCCTCCCCTCCCGTCTCCCCGCGTCCGTATCCCCTCTCGCGCCCCCTCTCCGCGCATCGCATGGACGCGCCACGGCCCACCGCGGCAGCAGCGGAGGGCACCGCGGGGGAGAAAATAAGGGATGGCTCAGTGTCAGATGGTGCCATTGCGATGACTTCAGGTAAGGAGGGGGGGGAGAGGAGAGAGGGGGGAAAAGGGGGGCGTGTAATGGCAGAGCATCATTCAGAAGCCTTTGCCGTATGCAGCAGCGAGTTGGTGTAACCACTTGTTTTAGTAACAATACGAGTTGATGTCGTTGCTCAAAGAACACCCTCTATCCCTCCCTCCCTCTCCCTCCCCCCTCCCGCCCCCCCTCCCTCCCTCCCTCCCTTCCTCCCTGCCTCCCTCCCTTCCTCACTTCCTCCTTCCCGGTCCTTCCTCCCTCCTGGTCTCTGCTGACCTTTTCACCTCTTTCCAAACCCACCGTTCTCACCCCGCCATCTCCCTACCATCACGCCCCACAGACGGTCGCGTGGTGTCCTTTCAGCAGCGCCGTGACGAGACCACAGTGGGGGTGGTTCAAATGTTCCCTCTTGTCACCCTCTCACTGAGCTGCCCCTCCCCTCTCACCCTCTCACCCTCTTACCCTCTCACCCCTCTCACAGTCTGGCGTCCTTCCAGCAGGGTGGTGGCACCACAGTGGGGGTGGTTCGAAGGCTCCCTCTTTTCACCCTCTCACCCTCGCACCTCTCACTTTTCTCACCCCTCTCACGCCCCACAGACGGTCGCATTCGCCTGGCGTCCTTCCAGCCGCGCAGTGGCGAGACCACAGTGGGAGTGGTGCGAGATGCTCGCATTTGGTGGGTGCTGCTACTTCCCACTCGCATCGGCTGGGTTTGTTTGATGAGTCGATTGTGGAGTGAGAGCATGTATATATGCTGCTTCTGTGTACTGCCACCCCCCATGCCACCCCACCCCCCATGCCACCCCCCATGCCACCCCCCATGCCACCCCCATCCCCCTCTCCCCTTGCCATCCCCCGTGCCGCTCCCACGCCACTCCATGCGTGCATACACAAGCCCTCGGCCTTAGTGCTCTATCCTCACCCCTTTGTCACCGTCATACCCCATGCAGGCCACTGCATGCGTGCGTGAGCCCTCCTCCCCATGCTTCTGTACCCATCGCTCTGTCCCCACCCCTCTGTCCCGCGCATCCCCCATGCCACCCCCCATGCCACCCGCCACCAGGCCACTGCGTGAGTGCGTGCAGGAGCCCTCCTCCCTGCCTTCCTCTATCAACCTGCACTGCATGGCGTCGGTTATTGCCAGCTGGCAGGACATTCGTGCCAGGTGAGAGGGGTGTGGAGTGTGGGGAGGGGAGTGTGGGAAGGGGAGTGTGGGAAGGGGAGTGTGGGAAGGGGAGTGTGGGAAGGGGAGTGTGGGAAGGGGAGTGTGGGAAGGGGAGTGTGGGAAGGGGAGTGTGGGGAGGGGAGTGTGGGGAGGGGAGTGGGGGATGAGGCAGGGTTATGGACCTTGTAATAACCCCCACGGTTCTAATGTAGAGCCTCTCTGCCCTATGCTCCCCGCATGCCTCTCTGAACCCATGTCGGGCAGGCTAAACTTTGAGAAGCTGCCCGAGGGGCAGGGGCAGCTGCTGTCGGAGAGCCATCTGCTGGCTCCGCTGCCCCGGCCTGCAGGGGCCATCATGTGCATTGGGAAGAACTACGAGGAGCATGTGAAGGAGGTGGACACGTGGAAGACTGCCCCTCATATCACCCACCCCAGCATCCCCACTGTGAGTCCAACCGCTGTACTAGCAGCAGCAGCAGCAGCAGCAGCAGCAGCAGCAGCAGCAGCAGCAGCAGCAGCAGCAGCAGCAGCAGCAGCAGCAGCAGCAGCAGCAGCAGCAGCAGCAGCAGCAGCAGCAGCAGTAGGAGCAGCAGCAGCAGTAGGAGCAGCAGCAGCAGTAGGAGCAGCAGCAGCAGTAGGAGCAGCATCAGCAGCAACAGCAGGAGCACTAGCAGCAGCAGCATTACTAGGAGCAGGAGCAACATTATTGCCATCATGTGCATTGGGAAGAACTATGAGGAGCATGTGAGGGAGGTGGACACGTGGAAGACTGCTCCTCATATCACCCAGCCCAGCATCCCCTCTGTGAGTCCTGCCGCTGCAATTTATAATTGCCTTCGTCGTTACCTCCTCCCTCCTCCTCTCCTCCCCCCTCGTTGCCTCCCTTACCCTCCTCTCCCCCCTCCTCCCCCACTCGCCCCTTCTTCCTTCCAGCACCCAATTGTGTTCACCAAGGCCGCAGTCAGTGACAGGACCCGGAACGGCCATCCGCATCCCACACGGCCACTCCGAGTCTGTCGACTATGAGGCAGGTGGGTGGGTGTGGCGTCGTGAGGTAATTGGGTCGGATGGTTTGTAAGGTGACTCAGAAGGCAAGGCACGGCCATTTGCATCCCACACGGCCATTCCGAGTCTGTCGAATAAGAGGCAGGTGGGTGGCGGCGAGGCAGGTAGGTGTTGCTGCGGGGCAGGTGGGTGCTTCAGTGCGGGGCAAGTGGGCATTGTGAGGTAGTTTGGTTGGGGTGACTCACAAGGCACGGCCATCCGCATCCCACACGGGCATTCCGAGTCTGTCGACTACGAGGCAGGTGGGTGGGCAAGTTTAGTAGGATTCGGAAACGCCGATGAAGGCCTTAAAAGCCGAAACGCGCGTACGTTCTCTGAACCACTTGTAATCTACCGATTAATACTACTACGCTTACCTACACATGTTCTCGCCTAGTACTCAGTGATTTTAGTCAGATTAGTCAGGTCGGTCGAACGGAGCTTGCAGCTTTCTACCCGTTTTCTTAGTTTGAGGCCATTCCGAGTCTGTCGACTACGAAGCAGGTGGGTGTTGCTGGGGGGCAGGTGGGCGTTGTGAGGTCGTTAGGGTTGGGTGCTTGCAGTTTGACTCACAAGGCACGGCCATCCGCATCCCGCACGGCCGCTCCGATGCTGTAAAGTATGAGGCAGGTGGGTGTGGTATTGAGGGGCAGGTGGGCGCTTTGTTGCAGGGCAGGTGGGTGTGCAGAGGTAGATAGGGTTGGGTGATTGCGCGTGGACTCAAAAGGCCATCCGCATTCCGCACGGCCACTCTGAGGCCATCGACTATGATGCAGGTGGGCATTGGGGGGCGGCGTTGGGGGGCAGGTGAGCGGTGGGGGGCAGGTGGGCGGTGGGGGGAAGGTGGGCGGTGGGGGGAAGGTGGGCGGTGGGGGGAAGGTGGGCGGTGGGGGGCAGGTGGGCGGTGGGGGGCAGGTGGGCGGTGGGGGGCAGGTGGGCGGTGGGGGGCAGGTGGGCGGTGGGGGGCAGGTGGGCGGTGGGGGGCAGGTGGGCGTTGGGGGGCAGGTGGGCGTTGGGGGGCAGGTGGGCGTTGGGGGGCAGGTGGGCGTTGGGGGGCAGGTGAGCGGTGGAGGGCAGGTGGGCGTTGTAGACCTTGGATAAGCGACGCGGCATGGTTCTCCTCTAAGGCCTACCGGCAGGTGTGGGATTCCAAGGCGAGCTCGTGCATGGGCTGCAATGAACCACTAGCGGAAAGTACTGCAGCAGGCAACAGGTGAAAAGATAGTCAAGTACCGCAGGCCCCAGATCCACCCATCCCATCCCCATCGCCCCTCCCCATCGCCCCTCCCCATCGCCCACCCCATCTCCCATCCCCATGGCCCATGCACAGAGCTGGCAGTGATCATTGGGAAACCCGGTCGAGGCATCAAGGCAGAAAATGCGATGGACCATGTCTTTGGGTAAGACTCGCTTGCTTGTGACATAATTCTCAGCGAGCTGCAATCCGCGTGTAAGGAGTCGTGTTTTGAGTCGACTCAAAACACAACAGAAGATGCCGTGGACCATGTCTTTGGGTATGACTTGCTTGCTTGTGTCACAATCAGTTTTTATCACCTTTATCATTACTCCTCATCACTCTCCCATCTCACTTTCATTTTTGCGCTCCGCATTTACATCTCAGTCATCCAATGCCCGCACGTTGACGTGTCAGATCGGTCTTTGAGAGGCGCCAAACGAATGTGCTTTCCTTATTCATCCAACGACTGCACATTGGCTTGTCAAAGTGTGTTTGCTGGCTTTGAGGCGGACTTAGACCAAACGACGTGAATTGCGTGGTCCGACAATCAATAAACATGGAGCTTAGTGAAGCTCAGGGCATCAGCATTCGCCGGTTCAAGTTTTTTCAGAGGACAGAGGAGGTTGACCTTTGAGCATTCCATTATCCTGGGGAGTTGATGATGTGAGGGGCTGGCACCTGCACCAGGTGCAACAGATTCACTGCTTACAACAACCCTTCCCTCCCCCCCACTGCCTGATCGTCTCCTCATCCACACCCAGCTACACCATTCTGAATGATGTAACGGCAAGAGATGTGCAGAAGCGCCACCAGCAGGTTTGCCTACTCTTTCTCACTTTCCCTCCCACTATCTCTCCCTCTCCCCCTCCCACTCTTTCCCTCTCTTTCTCTCGCCCATGTGCATTCTCCAACTGCCTCCTTCTTTCTCCTTGCATGCCAACTTCTATTGAGCTTCCTTTGCAAAATCTAACCAAAACGCAGACGCCCTTGCCCGAGTCTTATTCATGCCTTTTCTGACATGCCGCACCATGCCATGGCGTGCCGGACCATGCCATGCCGTGCCGCACCATGTATCTCACTGCATGCTGCATCTCACCCATGCCATCCCCCTGCAACACCTCCCTTCCTCACTCGCCCACTGCAGTGGTTCCTCGGCAAGAGCTGCGACACCTTCTGCCCCATGGGCCCTTGGATCATGCCAGCATCGGAGATCAACGGCCAGGATCTCCACATTCGCTGCTGGATCAACGATGAGCTCCGGCAGGTATTGAGCCCCGACCTTCCAGAATGTACAGGAGCGCCTTCCATCCTGTTTCCTCCTCATCTCCACCATAACTTTCCCAACCTCCATCGCTTTCTTTTCTTCGTCTGCCCTCTCTCCTCCCATCCCCAACCCCATCTCACCATGCATGCACCTTACAGCTCATCTTCGCCTTCTTATTTCCATCCTCCGTTCCTACCCCTTCCCGCCTCCCCTCACTCCCCCTCCCCACCCCTCCCAACCCTCCATCATGCGGAACGAGCGCACCTCGCAGCTAATCTTCCCCATCCCCACCCTCATCGCCACCACCTCTTGCTTTTCCTCTTCCCTTCTCACATCCCACCCTTGCTGTCTGCTTCTTTCCCTCCTCCCTTCCTCCCCCCCTCCCCCCCAACCCCCTCCACCATGCAGAACGCACGCACCTCGCAGCTCATCTTCCCCATCCCTGCGCTCATAACCACCATATCTGCGGGCATCACTCTGCAACCCGGAGACATCATTGCCACTGGCACCCCTGCAGGTGAGCTTTGAGACGTCTCACATTCCCATCCCTGCGCTCATCCCCACCATCTCTGCGGGCATCACTCTGCAACCCGGCGACATCATTTCCACTGGCACGCCTGCAGGTGACCTCTCACCCCTGCAGGTGACCTCTCACTCCTGCAGGTGACCTCTCACTCCTGCAGGTGACCTCTCACTCCTGCAGGTGACCTCTCACTCCTGCAGGTGAGCTTTGAGACGTCTCACATCCCCATCCCTGCCCTCATTGCCACCATCTCACCCGGCATCACTCTGCAACCCGGCGATATCATTGCCACTAGCACGCCTGCAGGTGAGCTCACCTTCTAGTGGATGTGACCTCTCGCCCTCGGCGTTTGTCTGCTCTGCAACTTGAGACTTCAACAGCTATTTGGTGTACTCGTTTCTATGAAGCTCTATTCCACTTACAATAGCTCGATGCATGCACAAACATGCATGCTTGCCTTCATACATAACCCCTCTTTTCTTACACCCAAGTTTACATGCAGTCTTTCTCAAGTGCTCAGTTTCAAGTAGAGAGGAGAGGAATACCTTTAACTGAGTCCGTGTTCCTTTTCTCTTCACACACTGCTTTGCAGGTGTGGGTTCTGGCTTTGACCCGCCAAGGCATCTCAAGCCAGGGGATTCAGTGCGCATTCAGATCGAGAATGTCGGGGAACTGACCAACCGTGTGGAGTGACCACCAACAACCTGACTGGCCAATCAGCTGCATATTCTTTGGAGTATACCTCATGTGCTTGCACAGTGGCTAGCTGGCTGGCTGGCTACTGAAAGCTTGAATAGTTATAGTGTCGACCTGTGGACTCGGAATGGAAAATTGGCCTACAGTAGTGAAAGTTTGGATGCCTAATTGGTTCCCTCTTCTTGGTACGCACAGAGCTGCTCTCTGGAGTGAAGCTCATGCACTGTTACCAGACTCCAGCGTCGGAGACTTGGGTTGGCTTCAGCAGTAGTGGTGGAAAACGCTTCAGCACACAATGCTATACATACGGTATAAGCCTGTCACAATGGCAATCAGGGATGCTGCGTTACAGCAGTGTCAGGACCTACTTGACTCCTCTGTACTAACGTCGTCTGTCTCGTCTCGTTTGTCTCCACGTTTTTCTGAAACCCCTCGCTCCTCTGCTTCGACTACTTGATAACCGTTGGCATATCTCTCCTGCTGCCGCATCTGAATAGCCTTCACATGCCCAATCTGGCCCTCTCCGCTGCCTCCACCCTCTGCACCACCCCTAACCTCTCTACCTTCTGTAAAGCCGCCAGAACTGACTGTACCGCTCTTAACTCCGGAGTTGTCCCCTCCCCGTCCCTTCCTGTTTGCGAGTCGCTTCGCCTTGAGCTGCTCTCTACATTCCGCGAGCGCCTCTCCCCGAAGGCCCTGACAGCTGAGGCCCTCCTGATCCATGGAGATGGCGAAATACAGGTACACCGCGCACAGCACGACGAGTATCGCCATTGTTCGCAGCAGGTACTGGTGCCGCGCGAGTAACGCGCGCACGGACATGTCGGGCTGATTCCCCAAACTGCCGTGTCTCGCCGCGCGCGACGTGAACGGCGAAGGAGAAGCATTGATGCGATCAGATGGAGGGATCGGATTTAAAGAGGTTAATTTAGCGGGAGAAGAGTCAGGGATGGATTGTGAGAGAGAAAATGGGGTTGGTTTGTTGCCATTCGGGCTCAGCGGCGTGTGGCGTCTGTAAATCTCTCCGCCGGGAGATGCTGCTGATATGGACGAAGCGAGCGACGGTCGGGTCTCATCCTGGTCTAGTCGCACGGGACTTCCCTCAGATGCTTGCCGGCCGCTGCTACTGCTGCTTCCGCCACGTAACAACGAGCTAGCTGTCGACGACATGGAGAAAGTGGAATCTAAACGAAGCTGAGAATAATTTATAAACTGGATCATCTGCAAACTGGTTTACGAAATAAGCTAGAGGTGGTAGCGGAAGACATGGCGATGAGAAAGCACGAGAGCGTCAAGAAGGAACGGCAGGTTGGGAAGGACAGGACAGGGCAGCGGGAAGTACGGAATGCTAGGCTGGGTGGAGGGAGGAAGGGAGGTGTGGGGTGGTTGGTGTGGCTGCTTTCAACACAGGACAGTGTCGCAACGGTCGGCGCGAAGTCAAGTTGGAGGTAACACGAATGTTACACGAAATTAAAATACCTTTCTACATAGCGACAAAAGTATATGAAACAAATGTAATACCAGGTAATTGCCTCAACTCAACCTTCGAATCACATACACCGTTGGCTTACTCCGTACTCCAAACCCACCATTTCTCACACGCCATTGAGCAGGAAAAGCTGTGTTTGCAGATTCTCTTCTCTGCCTAACCACCATCTCCCCATTTCATCTCAGATTTGGGGAAGAAGCTATGAAAATAATATCCGTGCTCACACATCTCCACTCCAATGGCAAGCTCCTCTAGGTTGCTCAACAAGATGATGCCCTAAGGGGGGTTGACGGTTTGACATGGTGTAAACAGGTTTAAGCTTCACCGTATTGCGCTGTGGAAAAAACAGACCTCAAAGAATGGGCAAGAGACGTACGAGTTGAAACCCTCTAGCTTATGGAGTTGCCTGCAATGTACACAAACTGCTTGGTCGTACTTCTGCACCTGCGTTTTCTCTTTACAATTTCGTTCAAACTACAGACTATTGGCTCAAGTATTGATCGGCGAGGCGTTCTGTCGACGCACATCTGCAGCAGATTTGAGCTCTGCAGCCTTTGCACGGAGAGCTTCAAGCATCTCCCGAATTTCAGCCTCGTCGTCCTCGAGGCTTACATTCCGCGTGGAGTGCAAGTTCCGCGTCAGCGTTCCTTGCAATCTCCTGCCTTTGCTCGTGATGTTTGAAGAGAGTGGAGGTTCAAGTTCACCTGCACGAAACACCAAGTTGAGAGCGTCCGTTGATCCTGCTAAAGCCACTATCTTTTAAATTACCAGTTTGAAAGTCTTCCTCTCCAGAATTCCCCATATTCGTTTCCGGGAAAAACACACGGGGAATGGTGTTTTGAAGAAGGTAAGATGCGTACTGCGAGTAATACCTCGCACTTTGACGAATACGGACCTCCGGAATAATAAGGGAGGACTCCAGAAGCATCATAACCGCACTGCAGACAATGACGAGAAGTATAGGAATAAAAGAGCTTCGGAAACGGACTCGAATCATGGTGAAAGAAATGTGGATGGCTATGAAACTCGACGCAAGCAATAGCTATGGATTGCCAACAAATGCCTTCTATCACATTTCAGAGCCATCGAAGAGAAGTCTCCAAACGATCTGCATGCGCGTTCCAGTCTTGCGTTTGCCCGAGGGTCAGAACGTGCCCGGTCTCAACGCAAACCAAGGTGATGTCACAAAACACGTGCTGGTTCGCTTCATGTGTCAAACCAGATGGTTTTTGTAACACATTGCATAGTGGTTCGCTTTGGTTGATGTTTTATGGGGTTACGCCTAGTCGTCTGGGCCACCAATTTCAAAACTCGGTTTGCAATTCTTTCGCATTGCACGAAGATTGGCAACAGCATCTGACATCCGTAACTCTGGCGGATCAACTTTGAAACGTTGTGATCCCTTGAATCGAACATCTTGCGAGAACGATTACGGTACGCTGTACACGTACACGTAGTTCGGTAACCCTTTTAAATAAAAAAGACCCAACCCAACCGACCTTGCGAGACGACCTGACCTGTCATAAAAAAGAGGGGTACGTAACACGCTCTTAGCTTGACACTTCGCCATAACTGAAATGATAAACAACGCCATATAGAGAAGCTACCCATGCGAATGACCAATAGGCGCAGATTCGGCAAAGCATGCCGCAGCCACGTGTCTCGCTAGCGGAATCATCTCGCTTCAGGCTCGTGCCGCCATTCGTTGTCGGCATTGCCGTCGGAGCTTGCATGATTCTGCTCCAGCAATCGCTTTCCTCCCGTCTAGCCGGCACAACCGCCGGCGACTGGCAGAATGATCACCCGCAGCCGACACACCGCCGTTATCCCTCATTCTCTTCCGAAAAAAACAGCGAAAATTCTGCCAGAGAAGATGCTGACAGCAGTAGTAAGACGTACGGCTCATCCTCCGCATCAGGCGCCGCGAATGACGGCGTGAGAATCGGAGAGAGCAGCAGCGCGTACAATACGAGCTCGGGGATTGTGGCGGGGAAAGTGAACGTGCATCTGGTGCCGCACTCGCACGACGACCTGGGATGGCTCAATACGGTTGAACAGTACTATGTGAGACTAGTAGCGCCAAAACTCACCATTGGTGACACTCACCATAGCGTCAGGCTGGCACCACTCAGCACCAGTACATTCTCTCCCGTCCACACCGCCTTCTGGCTCCCCCCTCTTCCTTCACATCGCATGGCCATGGGGGGGAATCCCCTTTCACTTCCATCTCCGCCTGCTCCTCCGCCTCCTGTCCCCTCTCCCCTCCCCTCCCCCTCCCCTCCCCCCCTCCCCCCCCCCCCTCCCACACCCCCCCTCGCCCTTTATATTACCGCATTCCCTTCAACTCGACCTTATGTGTAAACAGTAACCGCCTTCATAGCATGTTCACCCCCTCTGCCATCAGAAACACATGACAATCTCATCACCTCTCCCTTCCCTCTTCCCCCTCACTCTTCCCACCTTACCTTTCCCCACCCCTGGCATCAGATCACGGCCGTCCAGTTCATCCTAGAGACGGTGGTGGACCAGCTGGAGGCCAATCCGGACCGTCGATTCATCCAAGTGGAGCAGGTGACGTGGCAGAATGTGGTTGCGGTCATCGCTAAATGGATGCATGGTTATGAGACACGAGAGAGGAGAGCAGCCACCACGAGAAAGCAGTACGACCCGAAAACAGACTTCGAGAGCTCCCTTTTGAACTTGATGTGAACTTTGATGCGTAGCGCTAGCACAGTTCACTCCCGAACAGTACCCTCCTATATCTATCAGCGTGCAATCCTGCGCTTATGCCCACCCACCCCCATCCCATCCCACAATGCTGCATGCTCCTCTGTGTCCACCAATCACGGCTGGCGGGCGGCAGGGTTTCTTCTACCGCTGGTGGCAGCAGCAGTCAGAGGGCATGCGGCAGCGCGTGCGTGCTCTTGTGCACTCAGGCCAGCTGGAGTTCATGTGAGTTAAGCAGCTCCTTCCTTTCGCAAGATCCTGCTATTCTCCCCTCCATATATTAATATAAGAGCAGCGTATGCGTTTTCTACCCTCCTCTGTCGCTCACCTACCCCCTGCGGCCCCCTGCTGCTCCCTGCTTGCTCCCCCCTGCTCACAGCAACGGCGGGCGGGTGATGCATGACGAGGCGGTATGTCACTACAGGGACGTGCTGCACCACATGTTGCTATGGCAGGGCGTGATATGCTTGTCCCCCCCCACATTCCTTCCCTTGCTCTTCTGATCCCCTGCTGCCCCCTGCAGCAACGGCGGGTGGGTGATGCATGACGAGGCAGCCTGCCACTACAGGGACGTGCTACATCACATGTCGCTGGGCCACCGCTTCCCCCCATGCCCTCCCTGCTACCTCGTACTGCCCCTTTTGCCCCCTTCCGCCCCCTCCCGTCACATGCTTGCAGCAACGGCGGGTGGGTGATGCACGATGAAGCAGTGTGCCACTACAGGGACGTGCTACATCACATGTCGCTGGGCCACCGCTTCCTGCGCCGCCACTTCAATGCCACTCCAAGGATCGCCTGGCAGATCGACCCCTTCGGCCACTCCGCCACCCAAGCTAGTCTTATCACGGCCCAGGTGCGCTGGGCGGGGAAGGAAGAGAAGGACTGGCAGTTACTACTGGCTGGTGCGTGGGGCTGGCGCCCTGCATGATGCATGTGGTGCCACTTCAACACACCCCCCCTCCATCGCCTGGCAGATCGACCCCTTACGCCACTCCGCCACTCCGCCATTCCTCACTCCGCCACTCAAGCCAGCCTCATCACGGCTCAGGTGTGCCTAGATGAAGGGAGGGAAGGCGTGGCACTGCCTGGTGCGTGTGGTGGTGCCGTGCCGTGCATGTGTGGCTCTTGAGTTGACTCAAGAAGCTGGCCAATGAAAGCAAGCGAACGAGGAGTACCATCAGTGAGATAGATCCGCCTCTAGGTGTGACGCATTCCCTGCCAGTTTAGGGCGGGTGTATCATTGAGTCTCCTCAAGAGGTGGGGTTGATGAGCCTCAAGGTGTGTGATTCCTCCCATCCCAAGGCTCCACCAGTGCAGGGCAGGCTGGATGCGGTGTTCTTTGTGTGTGTGCGGTGCGGTGTGGTGCGGTGCGGACTATGGTTCAACTATCTACTACCCAGCATGCCGCCCTGCCTTTTGTCGTGTACCCTCCTGTGATGGCCCCGCTTTCTGCCTGTGCAGGGCGGGCTGCATGCGTTCTTCACACGGGCGGACTATGTTCAACAGTTTTCAACCTATCATGCCCCCCTGCCTTGTGGTTGTGTCACGTAAACCCCTTTGTGATGCCCCCTCTTTCTGCTAGTGCAGGGCGGGCTGGATGCAGTGTTCTTCGCACGGGCGGACTATGAGGACATAGCACGGCGCAAGCAGGAGAGGAGCACCGAGTTTGTGTGGCGTGCCTCCAAGACGTTTGGCCGGCAGGCTGAGGTGAGTGAGTGAGTGCGCATTACGTTTTACGTGTGGCACAGATTCTCCAGGTGTAATTTGAGTCGACTCAAGATACGCACGGCCGGAGGAAAGGAACACTATGAGGACGTAGCGCGGCACAAGAGGCAGAGGAGCACTGAGTTCGTGTGGCGTGCCTCCAACACGTTTGGCCGACAGGCTGAGGTGAGAGTGGGTGAGCGAGTGAGTGAGTGAGTGGTAAGTGACTATGTGAGTGAGTGATTGGCGTGGGGAGTGAGTGTTAAGTGTTACATGTGACTGAGTTTCGTGGGAACTCATGTCCTTGAAGTGCCAATCGCATGAAGTTTCATATCGTAAATGTTCAATGCGACTGGCTACGGGCTGGGCTGAGACGAGATTGGCTGACCTGAGACGAGATGGAGGGTTCTTTGTTCTCCTGCCATTGGGAGAGTGCGAATGTGGGAGATATGGCGCTGGTCATTGAAGTTGTCTCAATGTGCCATCTCATTCGCTTGCCCTTCCTAGCAACCCCGCCCCTCTTTCTCTCCCAACGCCCTCCCCATCCAAGAGCAGGTGTTTGCAGGAATCCTCTACTGGGACGGCTACTTTGCCCCACAGCCATTTCGCTTCGAACCATACGACCCGCTCACCAACCTTGTCAAGGTGTGCTCACTCACGTCAATTGACTTAAAACTGCCATGCCTTGGATACCTAACGAGGTGATTTTTGGGTCGACTCTACAGCCGCTCCGAACCGTACGACGACCCAATTCACCAACCAACCTCGTCAAGGTGTGTCGCTCTCTAACTTCAACTGCCCTGCTCTGGATTCCTAACGCATGGGGCTGGCTGGATAGTGTTCCAAGGCTCATGAAAAGCGTGGCGGGTTTGTGTGAACTGGTTGTTGATGGCCCAGCGTCGCGTATGTATACGTGTATAGCAATAGCATTAGCCTGCCTAAGCCCCTTACCTAAATTCCGCACCCACAGGATGAACCATACGAAGCAGACGCCATCGTCATGCACCCACCCACTAGCCCACCTTCGCCCCATTACCCAACTCTCTCCCCTCCTGACAGGACGACCCATATGAGGCAGATGCGAACATCATTCACTGACCCAACTCTCTCCCCTCCTGGTGGAGACGTTCGTAAACCGTTCACTGACCCAGGCGGGTGACACGCGCAGCTCGCATGTGATGTGGGCCATGCGAGAGGACTGCTCGCATGTGATGTGGGCCATGCGAGAGGACTGCTCGCATGTGATGTGGGCCATGCGAGAGGACTGCTCGCATGTGATGTGGGCCATGCGAGAGGACTGCTCGCATGTGATGTGGGCCATGCGAGAGGACTGCTCGCATGTGATGTGGGCCATGCGAGAGGACTGCTCGCATGTGATGTGGGCCATGCGAGAGGACTGCTCGCATGTGATGTGGGCCATGCGAGAGGACTGCTCGCATGTGATGTGGGCCATGCGAGAGGACTGCTCGCATGTGATGTGGGCCATGCGAGAGGACTGCTCGCATGTGATGTGGGCCATGCGAGAGGACTGCTCGCATGTGATGTGGGCCATGCGAGAGGACTGCTCGCATGTGATGTGGGCCATGCGAGAGGACTGCTCGCATGTGATGTGGGCCATGCGAGAGGACTGCTCGCATGTGATGTGGGCCATGCGAGAGGACTGCTCGCATGTGATGTGGGCCATGCGAGAGGACTGCTCGCATGTGATGTGGGCCATGCGAGAGGACTGCTCGCATGTGATGTGGGCCATGCGAGAGGACTGCTCGCATGTGATGTGGGCCATGCGAGAGGACTGCTCGCATGTGATGTGGGCCATGCGAGAGGACTGCTCGCATGTGATGTGGGCCATGCGAGAGGACTGCTCGCATGTGATGTGGGCCATGCGAGAGGACTGCTCGCATGTGATGTGGGCCATGCGAGAGGACTGCTCGCATGTGATGTGGGCCATGCGAGAGGACTGCTCGCATGTGATGTGGGCCATGCGAGAGGACTGCTCGCATGTGATGTGGGCCATGCGAGAGGACTGCTCGCATGTGATGTGGGCCATGCGAGAGGACTGCTCGCATGTGATGTGGGCCATGCGAGAGGACTGCTCGCATGTGATGTGGGCCATGCGAGAGGACTGCTCGCATGTGATGTGGGCCATGCGAGAGGACTGCTCGCATGTGATGTGGGCCATGCGAGAGGACTGCTCGCATGTGATGTGGGCCATGCGAGAGGACTGCTCGCATGTGATGTGGGCCATGCGAGAGGACTGCTCGCATGTGATGTGGGCCATGCGAGAGGACTGCTCGCATGTGATGTGGGCCATGCGAGAGGACTGCTCGCATGTGCAGCAGATGTTGGCAGCATCCCCACCTGTGCCCCCACCACCCAACCCCCCCTCTCCCTTTCCAGGACAACCCATATGAAGCAGACACTAACATAGTGCAGCTGGTAGAGGCGTTTGTGAACAAGTCGCTGACCCAGGCGGGTGACACGCGCAGCGAGCATGTGATGTGGGCCATGGGGGAGGACTTCTCTCACTCCAATGCTGCCCTGTGGTTCACGAACATGGACAAGCTCATTCACTATGTCAACCTGGTATGGCCTGAGATGTGGGGTGGTGGGGTGTGGTGTGGTGGGATGTGGTGGGTTGTGGTGTGGTGTGGCACGAAACCAATGCCAATGCTGCCCTGTGGTTCACGAACATGGATAAGCTCGTTCATTATGTGAACCTGGTATGGCCTGGAATGGCCTGGTATGGCCTGGTATGGCCTGGTATGGCCTGGTATGGCCTGGTATGGCCTGGAATGGCCTGGTATGGCCTGGTATGGCCTGGTATGGCCTGGTATGGCCTGGTATGGCCTGGTATGGCCTGGTATGGCCTGGAATGGCCTGGAATGGCCTGGTATGGCCTGGTATGGCCTGGTATGGCCTGGAATGGCCTGGAATGGCCTGGAATGGCCTGGTATGGCCTGGTATGGCCTGGTATGGCCTGGTATGGCCTGGTATGGCCTGGTATGGCCTGGTATGGCCTGGTATGGCCTGGTATGGCCTGGAATGGCCTGGTATGGCCTGGTATGGCCTGGTATGGCCTGGTATGGCCTGGAATGGCCTGGAATGGCCTGGAATGGCCTGGTATGGCCTGGTATGGCCTGGTATGGCCTGGTATGGCCTGGTATGGCCTGGTATGGCCTGGTATGGTATGGACCATGTGGCATGGTGCAGCGTCATGCACACGCCATGGTGCTGCTGGCATAACAAAATACACCCCCCCATCCTCCTCCTCACGCCCCCTGCATGTGCATCACTCACTCACTGCCACCCCTCTGAGGACGGCCGGGTGAATGCCCTCTACTCCACGCCACGCCATGGTGCTGGCATGACATAACACTCCTCCCCTGCTCCTTCCTCCTCTTCCCCCCTGCATATGCATCACTCATTCACTGCCACCCCTCTCAGGATGGCCGGGTGAATGCCCTCTACTCCACGCCCTCGCGCTACCTCGATGCCAAGCACCGCAGCAACCAGTCGTGGCCGCTCAAAGAAGGCGACTTCTTCCCGTGAGTGGCCCTGCACTCACGAACACAAGGCGACCTCATTCCAGCGTCCAGCGCACTCACTGAAGCTGGACTGCTCGCCAAGTGCATGCACACTTGGCAACCCTCACCACCGCGCACTTGACAAGGCAGAAAGGGCAGTACCCACAAAATTCATCGACTGCGGCTGCACACGCAGCCGGTTACTCTAGGCCTGTCCAGACTGCCTCATCTGCCTCGTGTCGCTGAGGAGCACTGCGCGCTGAGCGCTGGGCTTAGATCAGACTATGTGCTTCTTGATGACCTTCTGATTTTTTAGGCGCCTACAAAAAAAGGCTCACTTTTGAGGCGCCTAAATTATAACCCTAGTCCTGTCCTGTCTGTCTGCCTCGTGTCACGAGCATCACTGGGCCTAGATCAGAGTATGAGCTTCTTGGTGACCTTCTGGCCCCTCAGCGCACTCGGGCCCTCAGTGCACTCCACACCACGCCACTCCACAGCACAGCACACCCAGTCATGCCACTCCAAGTCAGTCACAGATCTCTTTGACTGACTTCAGATCTCCAAGTCGTGCCCTCTGTGTTCTTTCTATGTGGTTCCCATAGCAAGCTACTCTGGCATTGCCCACTCGCTTACCTGCTCCACTCCTTGCCCCATTGTGTGGCATGACTGACTGCCTGACTGGCTGGCAGGTACGCGAGTGGTACCCAAGAGTACTGGACCGGGTACTACTCAAGCCGCCCGGCCTTCAAGGGCTATGCTCGCATGTGCAGCAGCCTGCTGCAGGTGAGTTGAGTTACCGCGGACATATCAATCTCCCCTTCGCACTCTCAACGAGCTCCTCGTTACAGAGGTTCTTAGCCCTGAGAGCTCTACTCCCATTGCTGCTGTCGACCTAACAATGTGTCGTCCATACCCCCACACCCCTCCCCTCCTCGTCGTTTCCTTCTTCCCCCATTCTGCCCGTCACCAACCTTACTGCCAGTCGCTCCCCGCCCTCCCGCACACCCTTCCTTCTCGTCCATCCCGCTGCTCCTTTGTGCCCCCACGCTGCTCCTCCTGCAGGCAGCCACGCTACTGGAAGCATCAGTGGTCAAGGCCACCCTGCAAGCGTGGGGGAACCAAACCACTTTCCTCGTGGTGCCCGTTCTGCTCTCCTCCAACCTCACTGCCATCCACGCCCCTGCCTTCCCGCACACCTGCAGGCAGCCACGCTACTGGAAGCATCAGTGGTCAAGGCCACCCTGCAAGCGTGGGGGAACCAAACCTCCCGCCTCGTGGTGCCCGTTCTGCTCTCCTCCAACCTCACTGCCATCCACGCCCCCTCGCCCCCGCCCTCCCACGGATCCCTCCCTTACACTGCGCCTCCTTGCAGGCAGCCACTCTACTGGAAGCATCAGTGGGCAAAGCGAGCCTCCAATCCTGGGGTAACCACACCTCCCGCCTCGTGGTCCCTGTGCTGCTCTCCACCAACCTCACCGCTATCCACGCCCCCTCGCCCCCGCCGTCCCGCCTCGCGTCGACGTTCCCTCTGGAAGAGGCGGTGGCGGTGGCACAGCACCATGACGCCATCACAGGCACGGCGAAGCAGCACGTGAATGATGACTACACACTTCAGCTGTACCGGGGAATGCAGGAGGTAAGGTGTTTGGGGTTGAGGCAAGCCTCCACGTTCCCTCTCCCCCTGGAGGAGGCGGTGGCGGTGGCACAGCACCATGATGCCATCACAGGCACGGCGAATCAGCACGTGAATGATGACTACACGCTGCAGCTTTTCAGAGGGGCGAACGAGGTAGGGCGTTTGGTGGGGTGAGGCGTGCTGTGTGGGGTAGGGTAGGGAGTGACCACCAGGAGTGAGTAACGGGGCCATGAGAGAGAGGCAGTGGCGGTGGCACAGCAGCACCATGATGCTATTACGGGCACGGCAAAGCGGCACGTGAATGATGACTACACGTTGCATCTGTACAGGGGTGCGCTGGAGGTAAGACGTGTGGGTAGGGGGGATTGGTAATGATGATGAGTACACGTGGTGACTGACTGTACAGGGGCGCACAGGAGATGAGAATAACATGGAAGCAGTGCGAGGATGGGTGTGGTGTGGGCGAGAGCAGCTCGTGAGCGGCGGCCACATGTTCTGACTGTACCGAGGAGCGTAGGTAGGAGGTAGGGCGTGGGTGGAGAAGGGCGTAAATAGGGAAGGGTGTGGCAGGAGTAGAGAGCATTGTGAATGAGCATTGTGAATGAAGACACAGTGGCAGTGCAGCTTTCACTGGTAGTTATATGTGAACTAGCTTGCGTGTCTTATACTCTACACACCCTTACCCCCCTCCAAATTTCTTCCTTCCCGTTGCACCCTCCTGCACCCCATGCACTTCTTATCCCTCCTATCCCCCATGTTCCAGGCATCTGTGATAGTGACCTCGTCCCTCACTCATCTCATCACTCAAGGCGCACTGGACCTCAAACCCACTCCTGCTGCTCGTGCTGCTCGCACCACCGTACAACCTGCTGCTCCTGCCGAGACACTCTATAACGAGACAGGGAATTTAGAAAACAGAGGCGCAGAGGACACGCTGCGGCTTGGACTGGACTTCCAGCTGGTAATCTGTCGCTGTGTCCCATCCTCTGTGTCCCTCTCTCCATATGTAACCCTCTAGCTCAACACGTGTACGTCATATGTGCATCGTATGTGCATTGTATGTGCATCGTATGTGCATCATATGTGCAACGTATGTGCATCATGTTTGTCTCGAATGATCTCATTGTCATTTGAGCGTCGTGCATGCATATCATTCTCTCCTGTATCCCGCTCCCCTCCCTCTAATTCCCTCCCTACCCAGCTCTCCCCACTTCTTGCAGTGCTCCTTGCTCATATCTCTTACTGCTCTCCCACGCACCATACCAATCCTCATGGCCCCATTCATTTCGACCCCATTCCTTTCGACCCCATTCCTTTCGACCCCATTCCTTTCGACCCCATTCCTTTCGACCCCATTCCTTTCGACCCCATTGCTTTCGACCCCATTCCTTTCGACCCCATTCCTTTCGACCCCATTCCTTTCGACCCCATTCCTTTCGACCCCATTCCTTTCGACCCCATTCCTTTCGACCCCATTCCTTTCGACCCCATTCCTTTCGACCCCATTCCTTTCGACCCCATTGCTTTCGACCCCATTCCTTTCGACCCCATTCCTTTCGACCCCATTCCTTTCGACCCCATTCCTTTCGACCCCATTCCTTTCGACCCCATTCCTTTCGACCCCATTCCTTTCGACCCCATTCCTTTCGACCCCATTCCTTTCGACCCCATTCCTTTCGACCCCATTCCTTTCGACCCCATACCTTTCGACCCCATTCCTTTCGACCCCATACCTTTCGACCCCATTCCTTTCGACCCCATTCCTTTCGACCCCATTCCTTTCGACCCCATTCCTTTCGACCCCATTCCTTTCGACCCCATTCCTTTCGACCCCATTCCTTTCGACCCCATTCCTTTCGACCCCATTCCTTTCGGCCCCATTCCTTTCGACCCCATTCATTTCGACCCCATTCCTTTCGACCCCATTCCTTTCGACCCCATTCCTTTCGACCCCATTCCTTTCGACCCCATTCCTTTCGACCCCATTCCTTTCGACCCCATTCCTTTCGACCCCATTCCTTTCGACCCCATTCATTTCGACCCCATTCCTTTCGACCCCATTCCTTTCGACCCCATTCCTTTCGACCCCATTCCTTTCGACCCATTCCTTTCGACCCCATTCCTTTCGACCCCATTCCTTTCAACCCCATTCCTTTCGACCCCATTCCTTATGGCCCCGCGTCACTTGCAGTGTCCGCTGCTCAACATCTCCTACTGCCCACCCACGCACCACCCCATTCCCCCCGGCACCACTCTGGTACTGTGCTCTGAACCACACCACTGTCACTTCATTTGTACAATTCCTGTACCCTCTGCCCATACATCAATCAGCTCGACGCAACCTGATGAAAAGGGTTGACTTTTGAGTCCACTCAAAAGTAAAATTGTAAAAGTCCTCTGCCCTCTGCCCAATGCCCATACATCAATCAGCTCGACACAACCTGATGAGAAGGAATGTGTGCTTGAGGAGCTGTGGAGTGCCTTTGCTGGCCCAAGCTGGCTCAGCCGACACACAACCATATGACCACCCCCATCCCCACACTCTTGCTCATAACATGTCATGCCCATGCCCATGCCCATGCCCATGCCCATGCCCATGCCCATGCCCATGCCCATGCCCATGCCCATGTCCATGCCCATGTCCATCCATGCACTCCCATGCCCATGCCTACGGCCAGGTTATTGCTGCATACAACCCACTTGGTTGGGCCCGAGACGAGATAATCCGCATTCCTGTGAGTGCAACTGCACGTGAAACGGAATGGAGCCCCATTGGCTGGAAATCAGAATGCACATTTCAGTTTGGGCACCCGCCTTTGCGCTTTCTCCGTGATTTTCTTCCTTCTGTTGCCCAGTCACGCCCCCCACCCTTCCCCCATAACCCCTTCCTGCTTCCTTTCCCGTCATTTCCCCCTTTTTAGGTACCTTGAATGCCTTTTGCACCATTTCCCCCTTCCGCCTATCTTTTTTGTTTGTTCTCTGTCAGGCCCACCCCTTTTCTATCTTCCACCTTTCCACCACCTCCCTTTCCGCGACACCTTCCCATTCCTCCAGGCATCCTCTGTTCTAGTCACTTCAACGAATGCTCAGCGCAACACTAGTCCCTCACCAGTCTATTCCTGAGGTCCTACAATCCTTCTTTTGTCATGTTCAATAGCACAATTCACTCCTCTCCTTCCGGCCCCCCCAGGTGTCCTCGCCGGCAGTCATTGTGACTGATGACCGTGGCAATGTGGTTCCATCACAGGCCGTTCCCGAGGTGTTGATTCCGTGGGAAACCCGAAAGAGGTACATCAGTGTTCAGGTGGGCGAGGAGGCTGTGAAGGGGGGCGAAGAGGGGTTGTGGGGGGTTGAGAAGAAGGTGGAAGGTAGTCAGGAGGGGGTGAGAGGAGGCAAGGAGAAGCGAGGGCGGGAGGTGAGGGAGGCGCAACAGCAGCAGCAGCAGCAGCAGCAGCAGCTGGAGGAGGAGCGGGAGGAGCAGCAGCAGAAGAAGAAGAAGCAGCAGCAGAAGCAGCAACAGCAGAAGTCACAGAAGCAGCAACAGCAGAAGCTGCAGCAGCAGCAGCAGCAGCAGCAGCAAGGCGTGGTGGTGTCAGTGGTGTTCCGTGCCAAGGTGCCACCCCTTGGGTACTCCACCTTCTTCCTCTCTCCAGCGGTCCCCAACACCCCCGGTGCTGCAGTCACAAGCACTGAGTGGCACGCACGTGTGCAGCCGGGAACAGGGCCCGGGGAGTGGGGGAAAGGAGAGGGGGAGGCAGGTGACGGGGAGGAGGAGGGAGGAGAGAGGGGAGACGGTCAGGAGGGGAGAGAAGGAGGGGAGGAGGGGGGGAAGGTGGAGAGAGGGAGTGTGGTGGTGGAGGAGGAGGGTGAAGGGGTTGGTGGTGGTGATGTGATTGTGCTGGGAGGCTGGGATGGGGCTGCTAGTGCTCCCAGTGGTGCTGCTGCTGATGGTGCTGCTGCTGGCGGTGCTTCTCCTGGTGGTTGTGCTGCTGCTGCTGGTGGGAAGGGTGGTGGTACCAGCTCTTCCCCTACTGCACGGACGGCACTGCGAGTGCTCTTCTCCAAGGCAGGATACGGAATGACCCGCCTGCAACTTCTTGGCTGTAGCCACGAGGGAAATGAAACAGTGGTAAGATGCTGTGCCTGTCTGCCAAGCCAATCAGTTCTCCAAGTTCCATTGCTTTCTCACCCATTTCCGTCTTCTTCTGCTCTCGGTTTCCATTCCCTAGCCCCTCTTGCATCTGTCCATCCATGCTCTCTTGCTTTGCTCATCGCATCATTCCTCCGTTCTGTTGTTGCAGCTTTCAGACAAGCAAGTGGGCACGGGCATGGGTGTCTACGTTTCAAAAAGTGTGCGTACATGGGTGCATGCCTTCACTTTAATATCACTCTGCTCACCCTCTCTCCTCCTTCGCACCTCCTTCCCCCTCTGCTATTCTACTGTACCACTCTAAACTCCTTGCAGTATCCCTTTTCCTCCCCACTATTTTTCTTTGTTTTTTCCCATCCATGTCAATCCGATCCCTTCTGTCAATGCCACTCCGTCATGTGATCCCATCTGATCCCATACGTTTCTCGTGTCATGGCATCACCATGGCATGCAGCAGAGTCAACCCCCTGCCCGCCATTCCCATCGCCCATGCTTCTTGCACGGCATCGATGCTGCTGATGCTCAGAGAAGAATAGATTCGACCCAGATGCAATCGAGGTCCTCGAGAGCGTCAGTGGCATGCTACGGCATCGATGCTCATGCTCTCTAACTCGCTACTCCCTTCCCCCACTGACCCGCCATTGCATGCCACCGCTGCCCCACCATCCCGCATGGCATGGCATGGCGTGGCATCGCGTGACGTGGCATGGCATGGCATGGCATGGCATGGCATGGCATGGCATGGCATGGCATGGCATGGCATGGCAGGCAGCAGGGGTGTACATCTTCAACCCCCCGCATGCAGCCACGTCTGCCCAGAACATGAGCCAACAGGCAAGTGTCGTGAGTGCTGGGACCACACCCAAGAGCCTCTCAAGAACAACGCAGGAAGCTAGGAACGTGCATGAAACCCAGCTTTCACAGTCGGTGTTGGTGGCATGGCAGAGCAAACTAGCGCGCAGCACACAATGAGCCGTTACATTTGGTCCGACCTGCACTCTAAACCCAAATAGAGCAACCTCACTTACAAGCTCATCCCCACACTCATCCCTCCCTGCACTCACTCGCTTCGCTCATCCCTCCCTGCATTCATCCCTCCCTGCACTCACTCCCTTTTCTCATCAATCAGGTGCCAATCCGCGTGCTGCGAGGGCCGCTAGTGAAGGAGTTTCACAGAGCACTGGCGCCCTGGCTGTCCGAGGTGGGTGGCTGGCACAGGTGGGCGGCTGGCACAGGTGAGTTTGTCGGTGCGTTAGTTGGTGAGGTCTCTGCCTTGTCTTCAATGCTGACTTGCACGGAGTGATCAATTTCGCATGCTGGATGGGTGATTTGACCTTGCTAGTCAAGAAAGGCAGTGCCCCGCACAGGCTGGCATGAGCAGCACTGAGCATCTCCAGGTTCTCCTCCTCTGCCCTGCAACCTGTCTGGCTTGCCTTGCAGGTCATTCGAGTGTATCCGGGACAGGACTATGCGGAGATGCACTACATGGTGAGATGCATTACATGGTGAGATGCATTACATGGTGAGGTGCATTACATGGTGAGATGCATTACATGGTGAGATGCATTACATGGTGAGATGCATTACATGGTGAGATGCATTACATGGTGAGATGCATTACATGGTGAGGTGCATTACATGGTGAGGTGCATTACATGGTGAGATGCATTACATGGTGAGGTGCATTACATGGTGAGGTGCATTACATGGTGAGATGCATTACATGGTGAGATGCATTACATGGTGAGATGCATTACATGGTGAGATGCGTTACATGGTGAGATGCATTACATGGTGAGGTGCATTACATGGTGAGATGCATTACATGGTGAGGTGCATTACATGGTGAGATGCATTACATGGTGAGGTGCATTACATGGTGAGATGCATTACATGGTGAGATGCATTACATGGTGAGATGCATTACATGGTGAGATGCATTACATGGTGAGATGCATTACATGGTGAGATGCATTACATGGTGAGATGCGTTACATGGTGAGATGCATTACATGGTGAGGTGCATTACATGGTGAGATGCATTACATGGTGAGATGCATTACATGGTGAGCTGCATTACATGGTGAGATGCATTACATGGTGAGATGCGTTACATGGTGAGATGCATTACATGGTGAGATGCATTACATGGTGAGATGCATTACATGGTGAGGTGCATTACATGGTGAGATGCATTACATGGTGAGATGCATTACATGGTGAGCCATGGGCACTTATCATCAACCCACTAAACAGGTTTCCAAATCACAGGCTGACCTTGTTTATAGGCTGACCATCATGGGCATCATGGGCATCATGGGCATCATGGGGATCATGGGCATCATGGGCATCATGAGCATCATGGGCATCATGGGGATCATGGGCATCATGGGCATCATGGGGATCATGGGGATCATGGGCATCATGGGCATCATGGGCATCATGGGGATCATGGGCATCATGGGCATCATGAGCATCATGGGCATCATGGGGATCATGGGCATCATGGGCATCATGGGGATCATGGGGATCATGGGCATCATGGGCATCATGGGCATCATGGACATCATGGGCATCATGGGCATCATGGGCATCATGGGCATCATGGGCATCATGGGCATCATGGGGATCATGGGCATCATGGGCATCATGGGCATCATGGGCATCATGGGCATCATGGGGATCATGGGCATCATGGGCATCATGAGCATCATGGGCATCATGGGGATCATGGGCATCATGGGCATCATGGGGATCATGGGGATCATGGGCATCATGGGCATCATGGGCATCATGGGGATCATGGGCATCATGGGCATCATGAGCATCATGGGCATCATGGGGATCATGGGCATCATGGGCATCATGGGGATCATGGGGATCATGGGCATCATGGGCATCATGGGCATCATGGACATCATGGGCATCATGGGCATCATGGGCATCATGGGCATCATGGGCATCATGGGCATCATGGGCATCATGGGCATCATGGGCATCATGGGCATCATGGGCATCATGAGCATCATGGGGATCATGAGCATCATGGGCATCATGAGCATCATGGGCATCATGGGGATCATGGGCATCATGGGCATCATGGGGATCATGGGGATCATGGGCATCATGGGCATCATGGGCATCATGGGGATCATGGGCATCATGGGCATCATGAGCATCATGGGCATCATGGGGATCATGGGCATCATGGGCATCATGGGGATCATGGGGATCATGGGCATCATGGGCATCATGGGCATCATGGACATCATGGGCATCATGGGCATCATGGGCATCATGGGCATCATGGGCATCATGGGCATCATGGGCATCATGGGCATCATGGGCATCATGGGGATCATGGGGATCATGGGCATCATGGGCATCATGGGCATCATGGGCATCATGGGCATCATGGGCATCATGGGCATCATGGGCATCATGGGCATCATGGGCATCATGGGCATCATGGGCATCATGGGCATCATGGGCATCATGGGCATGATGGGCATGATGGGCATCATGGGCATCATGGGCATCATGGGCATCATGGGCATCATGGGCATCATGGGCATCATGGGGATCATGGGCATCATGGGCATCATGGGCATCATGGGGATCATGGGCATCATGGGCATCATGGGCATCATGGGCATCATGGGCATCATGGGGATCATGGGCATCATGGGCATCATGGGCATCATGGGCATCATGGGCATCATGGGCATCATGGGCATCATGGGCATCGTGGGCATCATGGGCATCGTGGGCATCATGGGCATCATGGGCATCATGGGGATCATGGGCATCATGGGCATCATGGGCATCATGGGCATCATGGGCATCGTGGGATTCATGGGCATCGTGGGCATCATGGGCATCGTGGGCACACCACTTGTTAGCTTTGATACGCACTGATTTAGCTACTAACAGCCTTATGCATGCACGTATATCACATCACCATCAGGTGGGGCCAGTGCCCAGGAAGCCATATGTGGGTCGAGAGGTGGTTACTCGCTTCGTTTTGAGTTATCTCAAAACAAAAGTATTATGCCATGCCATGCCATGCATGCACATCACCATCAAATGTGGCCTCTGCCCAGGAAGGTACAGGGTATGTCTGAAAATTCTCAACAAACATATCTCCATGCATGCATGCACGTGTATCACATCACACCATCAGGTGGGGCCAGTGCCGAGGAAGCCCTATGTGGGTCGCAAGGTGGTCACTCGCTTCATTTTGAGTCATCTCAGAACCAATGTATCATCCCATGCCATGCCATGCCATGCCATGCCATGCCATGTCATGCCATGCCATGCCATGCCCACCATCAGGTGGGGCCAGTGCCCAGGAAGCCCTATGTGGCTCGAGAGGTGGTCACTCGCTTCACCTCCTCCCTCGTCACTGATGGGGCTCTTTTCACCGACTCCCAGGGCCGCGACTACCTGCGCCGGGTGAGACTACCTTTGAGACGCATGGAAAATCGCGGGTAAGGAAACGAGTACTGAGGTGCCACATAACTCCTTCCTCCTCACTGATGGGGCTCTCCTCACTGACTCCCAGGGCCGCGACTACCTGCGCCGGGTGAGAGTCTGTTGGGTGAGACTACTTGTGTGAGACGCATCAAAACAAGTCCTCCTTACGTACCTCACTCACTCGCACGTGTGCGCTGCGCTGCCTGCCTAAAGGGGCTCTCTTCATCGACTCACAAGCCCGCGACTACCTGCACCGGGTGAGCCTACCTTTGAGGAGCCTAAGAATCTTGGGGGTACAGTCTACAGAGACGACTGTTGATGCTCTACAAAGCTCCTCTCTCGCCACTGATGGGGCTCTTTTCTCCCTTGAAGCCTGATTCTTCACAAGCCTGCTACTCCCTGCGCCCTTGAATTGAACCCCGTCATCCCCCATGCTCCCCCGCTTTCCCCCTCCCTCCTTCCCATGCCACCACACCCATCAGGTGCGCAATCATCGGTCGGATTGGAATCTCACCGTCTACCAGCCTATTGCCGGCAACTTCTATCCAGTCAGTCACTGCTCTCAGGTGTCTGGGCGGCATGCATGGATGGCATGTTTTGGCAGCACGTGTGGGCAGGCTTGTGGTTGGAGTGTGTAGGTGGTCTTGTTGTATTATTGCATGGATGGATGGGCCAGTCTGTGGCATAGCATTACATGGAGCAAGACAATGTTTGCATATCACATCTGTCAGCGTTTCACAGACTTGCATTCCGCGTTTTCAGATGCCATGTGCGTCTGCTCTGCGTGCATGTAACAAGTTAGTGTTAGCATTTCACAGTCGCTTTCAAGCCACGTAATAGCACATTGTTTATAACTTGGTTTCTTTTCAACTTTGTCAGACGTCCCAAAAGTCGTCTACTTACACGTTTTCTTGTCATGCATTATGAGGCAGAGGCTCCTATCCAGCCAGCAAAACTGCAGTCACCCTCGCGTCTCCTTCCTGCACAATATTCCCGTTTAACTACTCTACAGACCGTTGCACAATTTCAGTCCGTTCAAGCAACAATGTCAGGCCATTTCTGACTACTGCCCCACAATAGTCAGAAATGGCCATAATGCATGAGACGAATTTCTGACTCGTGTACCACAATCCTGTTCCATTGGGCGATCATTCTCTTCTCCGTCACCACAACTCTCCTGGTCCGCTGAGAGAGTTAGCACTTCACATAATATTAGCATAGCATCACATGCGGCTACTATCCAGCAACACACAGTGCATTAACCTTAGCGTCTCTATTCTACACACTTACTCTACTTTCCTTGATCTCTTGGGATCTCTTCGTGTGAATCTTGAAGTGCTCAATTAAAGTAGAATACCTGGATATGTCTCCTCCACAGACCAGATAGCTCCATCAACCATAACGAGTGCTTTAGGTTCTTGTCATACAGTGAGTGGAAGTTTTCAGCCAAAGGGGTTGACTGTCGAAGTTTTCAGCCAAAGGGGTTGACTGTTGAAGTTTTCAGCCAGCTCTCCAACAGTCAACCCCTCTGCCCTCCTCTGCCATTCTCTACCCTCCTCTGCCCTCTGTGCATCGTCCCGTCCTCCGCACACCTTCCCCATCCTCCTATGCCCGCCCGCAGCTCACAGCAGGGGCGTTCCTTGCCCACCACGCCGCCCAGCAGGGGCGTTCCTTGCCCACCACGCCGCCCAGCTCTCACTGCTGGTTGCTCATTGAGGCGCCTGAGAATACTCGCCTCGCCTCGTCTTCCGTCTTCTTCCCTCTATGCATCGTCTCTCCCTTCCCATCCTCCTAATCCCTCCTGCAGCTCACAGCAGGGGCGTTCATTGCTGACAGCACCACCCAGCTCTCACTGCTGGTGGACCGGCCACTGGGGGCGGCCAGCCTGGCAGACGGGCAGATCGAAGTGATGCTGCACCGGTGAGGAGGCGTGGGTGTGGCTTATGGTGTGGTGTAGGTAGTAGGACCACCACTGTGGAAGCGGCCTGCCTGGCAGACGGGCAGATCGAAGTGATGCTGCACCGGTGAGGAGGCGTGGGTGTGGCTTATGGTGTGGTGTAGGTAGTAGGACCACCACTGTGGAAGCGGCCAGCCTGGCAGACGGGCAGATCGAAGTGATGCTGCACCGGTGAGGAGGCGTGGGTGTGGCTTATGGTGTGGTGTAGGTAGTAGGACCACCACTGTGGAAGCGGCCTGCCTGGCAGACGGGCAGATCGAAGTGATGCTGCACCGGTGAGCACTGGGGAGGCGTGGGCGTGGCTTGTGGTGTAGTGAGCAGGACTGACACCACCATGGCTTGTGGTGTAGTGAGCAGGACTGACACCACCGTGGCTTGTGGTGTAGTGAGCAGGACTGACACCACCGTGGCTTGTGGTGTAGTGAGCAGGACTGACACCACCGTGGCTTGTGGTGTAGTGAGCAGGACTGACACCACCGTGGCTTGTGGTGTAGTGAGCAGGACTGACACCACCGTGGCTTGTGGTGCAGTGAGCAGGACTGACACCACCGTAGCTTGTGTGTTGACTCAAAGAGTCTTCCTGCTGGTGGACCGGCCGACCGCTGGGGGCAGCGATCGTGGCAGATGAAAGGATCGAAGGCATGTTGCATCAGTGAGCACTCAGACGTGCCTTGTTGTGCAGGTAGTAGTAGCACTGCCTTGTTGTGCAGGTAGTAGTAGCACTGCCTTGTTGTGCAGGTAGTAGTAGCACTGCCTTGTTGTGCAGGTAGTAGTAGCACTGCCTTGTTGTGCAGGTAGTAGTAGCACTGCGTTGTTGTGCAGGTAGTAGTAGCACTGCCTTGTTGTGCAGGTAGTAGTAGCACTGCGTTGTTGTGCAGGTAGTAGTAGCACTGCCTTGTTGTGCAGGTAGTAGTAGCACTGCGTTGTTGTGCAGGTAGTAGTAGCACTGCCTTGTTGTGCAGGTAGTAGTAGCACTGCCTTGTTGTGCAGGTAGTAGTAGCACTGCCTTGTTGTGCAGGTAGTAGTAGCACTGCCTTGTTGTGCAGGTAGTAGTAGCACTGCCGTGTTGTGCAGGTAGTAGTAGCACTGCCTTGTTGTGCAGGTAGTAGTAGCACTGCGTTGTTGTGCAGGTAGTAGTAGCACTGCCTTGTTGTGCAGGTAGTAGTAGCACTGCCTTGTTGTGCAGGTAGTAGTAGCACTGCGTTGTTGTGCAGGTAGTAGTAGCACTGCCTTGTTGTGCAGGTAGTAGTAGCACTGCCTTGTTGTGCAGGTAGTAGTAGCACTGCCTTGTTGTGCAGGTAGTAGTAGCACTGCCTTGTTGTGCAGGTAGTAGTAGCACTGCGTTGTTGTGCAGGTAGTAGTAGCACTGCCTTGTTGTGCAGGTAGTAGTAGCACTGCCTTGTTGTGCAGGTAGTAGTAGCACTGCCTTGTTGTGCAGGTAGTAGTAGCACTGCCTTGTTGTGCAGGTAGTAGTAGCACTGCGTTGTTGTGCAGGTAGTAGTAGCACTGCCTTGTTGTGCAGGTAGTAGTAGCACTGCGTTGTTGTGCAGGTAGTAGTAGCACTGCCTTGTTGTGCAGGTAGTAGTAGCACTGCGTTGTTGTGCAGGTAGTAGTAGCACTGCCTTGTTGTGCAGGTAGTAGTAGCACTGCCTTGTTGTGCAGGTAGTAGTAGCACTGCCTTGTTGTGCAGGTAGTAGTAGCACTGCCTTGTTGTGCAGGTAGTAGTAGCACTGCCGTGTTGTGCAGGTAGTAGTAGCACTGCCTTGTTGTGCAGGTAGTAGTAGCACTGCGTTGTTGTGCAGGTAGTAGTAGCACTGCCTTGTTGTGCAGGTAGTAGTAGCACTGCCTTGTTGTGCAGGTAGTAGTAGCACTGCGTTGTTGTGCAGGTAGTAGTAGCACTGCCTTGTTGTGCAGGTAGTAGTAGCACTGCCTTGTTGTGCAGGTAGTAGTAGCACTGCCTTGTTGTGCAGGTAGTAGTAGCACTGCCTTGTTGTGCAGGTAGTAGTAGCACTGCCTTGTTGTGCAGGTAGTAGTAGCACTGCCTTGTTGTGCAGGTAGTAGTAGCACTGCCGCCGCCATGAGTTTTGAGATAAGTCACCGCGTCCACCGGTGGACCAGCCACTTGGGTGGGGGGGGGTCATTCTAGCCGATGGACGGCTGGAAGAGATGCTGCACCAGTGAGCGCTGTGGAGGTGCGGCCTTGTGCTATTGGACCGGCACCACTGAAGTTTCATGGTGTAGTTTTAAGTTAAGTTTTGAAAAAGTGTAGGCATAAGCTCCTTTGCTTTTGTTCTGCCAACCACTCTTGTCGTCCCTGTTTTCCCCCTCACTCACAGCCGCACACTGCTCCTCCTCTCACTCTCTCACACCGCTCTCTCTGAGCATCTTTGTCTTTCAGGCGCATGATTTCAGTCAGACGATGGCAAGGGCGTGCTGGGAGGGACTTTTGAGTCGACTCAAAAGTCACCTCGTTACAATGGCACACCACACTCTTTCAGGCGATTTTTGAGTCGCCTCAAAAAAAGACTTTTGAGTCGACTCAAAAGTCACCTCGTTACAATGGCACACCACACTCTTTCAGGCGATTTTTGAGTCGCCTCAAAAAAAGACTTTTGAGTCGACTCAAAAGTCACCTCGTTACAATGGCACATCACACTCTTTCAGGCGATTTTTGAGTCGCCTCAAAAAAAGACTTTTGAGTCGACTCAAAAGTCACCTCGTTACAATGGCACACGACACTCTTTCAGGCGCATGATTTCAGACGATGGCAAGGGCGTGCTGGGAGGGGAAGCATCTGTTCGAAACGTCTCAAAAGCACTTCACGCATCCCCCTACCTGCCTGCCTCCCAGGCGCATGATCGCAGACGACGGCAAGGGCGTGGGGGAGGTGCTTGATGAGAGGGTCTGCGATTCCCATGGCAACTGCACTCCCCTGGCCGTGAGTGCATGGCACGCCACACTGACTGCCCACTGTCCTGCCCGTGCGTGCATGGCATGGCACAATGCAATGCAATAGGCGATTTGGGCTTTGCCCTTTCACGCATTCATATCCTGAAGTGGAACATTCAGCAGGTGCCAACAGCAAGTAAGCTCGTCTTCCATTCTGCATTTTCTTGGAAATAGAGGGACTTTGACCTTTGTGAATGTGATCTCCCATTCATGATGGGCGGATTTCTGTAGTGCTGCATTTTCTGTGCTTTTCTCGGGTGTGCGTCACTACCCATTGCCGTCAAGCTTAGTTGGCACTTAACTTTTACGGGGTTTACGTGTACGTGGCTTTACGTAGTAAACTTACGTTTACTTACGTGGGCCCAAAATGGCTTTACGTTTACGGTCTGCCAGAAACATTTCTGGCTGCCCGGAAACAAAAGAATTCAGAGGACTAAGTGGCTAAATGGGAAGCGCCTAATCAGCCATTAGATTGGTTCTTCTATGCCCAAGCATGTTAGCACTTACTCCATCATCTTACAGATGCTCCACACGTACACTGAGATGTCACAGCCTCTCCCACCTTATATCAGTCAGATAGCTTCCATTTTGCAGTTTTTGCCCTGCCCGTGCGACTTTACGTAAACTTACGAGTAAGGAAACGTAAAGGTAAACTTACGAGTAAGTTTACATTTACGTGTTCCTTATAAACGTTAAGGACCAACTAAGCCGTCAAGCCACTGCCCTCACGAACGCCACGGCACTCATGCTTCTGCCCTCATGTCACTGCCCTCGTGCTTCTGTCCCAGGTGGTGGGATTCATTCGTTTTGCCCTGCATCCCAGCACTCCCAGCGTCTGTGTTCAACTGCCTTCTCATGCCCTTTCAGGTGGTGGGATTCATTCGTTTTGCTCTGCATCCCAGCACCCCCGATGACACCGACTGTTACGGTGGGGATCCTGGCCGGGTAGGAGATTCCCGTTCAGCCGCAGCTACAGGAGCTTCCAGTAACGATGCACTCAATAGCGAGGACAGGGCAGACACAGGCTCAGAGGAGAGGGTGTCAGAGGATTCTGACGCAGTAAGTGACTCTGCAAGTGTAAATAATTCTGGTGAAGAAGCGGATGCTGGCAGTGATGGAGCACTCAATAGCGAGGACAGGGAGTGGGCCTCAGAAGGTTCTGGTGCAGCAGCAGGTGCTGCGAAGTCCAGAGACAGCAAAAGTCAACAGCCGCCCAGCCGGCGAAAGCTGGGCGGCAAAGAGAGGAGACATGCGATGTTGGCCGGCAAAGGGAAGCACGAAGGGGGAAGGGAGGGGAAGGAGGGGGGTAAAGCGGCGGAAGGCGGAGTGGGGGAGGTTGGGGTGAAGGGGAGTGTGAGGGGAGAGGCAGCCAGGTGGAGGAAGGAGCACGCAGAGAGAATGGTGTCACCGCTGCAACTGGCGTTTGCACGCGAGGTGAGAGGCAAGGGGAGGTGGGGAGAGGTAAAGGGAGGTAAAGCGAAGTGAAGGGAGGTGAAGGGAGATGAACGGAGGTGAAAAGTGAATGCAGTAGGCGGGCATTTGCCTCTCTAGATCCTGCTTGTTAATTGTTCCATTTGGTTGGTTTGTGGTGCTTGATGCATTTCTCATCACATATGGCACACGTCACACGGCATATGGCACATGGCACATGGCGCATGGCACATGGCGCATGGCACATGGCGCATGGCACATGGCACATGGCGCATGGCATGGCACATCGCACGTGGCACATGGCACATGGCACATGGCACATGGCACATCAAACATGGCGCATGGCGCATTGCACATGGCGCATGACACATGTACATGTCTCATGGCACATGGCAGGAAACAGAGGCACTGAAGGCAGCACAGGGCATGAGATGGACGTACTCCCTCTCACACATGCCTCAACCAGACGGTCAAGAGAACAACCAGGGCAAGCAGGGCAACCAGCGCAACACACCCGCGCCCTACCACCTCCCTCCAAACGTCGCCATCGTGTCAGTGCAGGTAGGTGCAGGTGGAAGCACACATACCACTCAGCCTCACCAATGTGGCTCCTCCTCGCTGCTGCCTTCTGAAACGCCCCTGAAGCAGTGTGGCTTTTATTTGTCATCCTCTTCTCTTCCATTTCGCCCTCCGCTCCATCATGCAGTTGAATTGGTTTTGAGGCTCTGTTCACTGTACATGGGTTCGTTTACTGATTTGGACAGCTTAACATGCAAACCAGTCTTTATTGCCCCGTGTTTGTGTGTGGAGCTACCCGGTGGTGTTCAGTCTCCCTCTCACCCACCCTCCCTCCATCCCCTTTCAACTGACAACCATTTTGTCACCTCAAATGCCACCTCAGGAGCTTGCACCCAATGAGGTGACAGTCCGATTTGCACACCTGTACGAGGTACGCCTGTACGAGGTACACCTGTACGAGGTACACCTGTACGAGGTACGCCTGTACGAGGTACACCTGTACGAGGTACACCTGTACGAGGTACGCCTGTACGAGGTACACCTGTACGAGGTACACCTGTACGAGGTACGCCTGTACGAGGTACACCTGTACGAGGTACACCTGTACGAGGTACACCTGTACGAGGTACACCTGTACGAGGTACACCTGTACGAGGTACGCCTGTGGCGGCTTTGACGCCTGCCCTGCCTGTGCGCTTAAGGCTTTGAGGTGTGCAATGTGTGCTTGAGGTGTGCCCTTGCGCTGACTTATAAGATACACCTGTGCTCCCACCTCTCGCACTTGCCGACGCTCCTCATTTCGTGATGCTGCTACACCCCCTCCCCACACCCAATTGTAGAGCCCATGCATGTCACCTCATCATCTTGTGTTTCATCGCCCATCAAACCCTGAAATTTTTCACCCCGCTACCTTTCACCGCACCTTGCACTTACCATACCTGCCATTCCCCGCACCTGCGACTTACCATACCTGCTGCTGTTCACCGCACCTACCACTTCCCATACTCCCCCCCCTCACATTCTCCCCCCCAGGCCAGGGAGCATCCCCAGCTGTCCAACCTAGCCTCTGTCCATCTCCCCTCGCTCTTCGCCTCACGAAAGGTGCGCTACCGCTGATTGCTCTAGTGATTAAACCGCTTCAATTGCTCGTTCCCATGTTATGTTACTCTCCCTCTCGCATTTGCCTCTGGCACCTACCTATGCGTGCCAAATCAAATCTGTCTGCGCAGATCAAGGGAGTAACCGAGCTGAATCTTTTCGCAAGCCAGAAGCGATCCGAGATGCGTCCACCATTGGAGTGGCATGTGGAGGGAGATGCTGCTGGTGGACATGGCAGGCCGAGGGAGGGGAGAGGAGGTGAATCGATTGGGAATGAGCATGCTGTAGATCCACCTCTTCTTGGGGGCCCAATCGACCCTCATGACCTGGTTCTTGAGTTAGGCCCCATGGAAATCCGAACGCTTTCTGTCTCCTTCCATTGAGTTGAGAAGCATCTCAGATACAGTCTTGAGAAAAGGAGCACTCACAATGAGAGTGTACACCACGTGTATAACTTGGACATCAAGTCCTAACTGCGTACTTTCTTTAGCGGGTATGTTTGGTTCGGTCCTACTTTTTCGTCCCTAACCACTTCCGATTCGCCAACTTTCCGAGCCTCGATTACTTTGCCCCGAGGTCCTCGCTTGGCTCAACTCTAGCCTATTTTAGCCTCGTTTAGACCTTCTGTGTTTCATTCTCTATTTTTCTAAATCGGGAGCAATTTTAGTTCATTAGTGAAACCCGCACACTGTAGGCCGAAACGACTTAAATATTTCCGCCGGGCTAACCCTTCTCGATCCCACCTCGCGCCCGCTCTTATCGCTCCACCGTCGGGCAAACACGCTTGACGCGAGAGTCTCTACCGCGCTGCTAATATCAGCGGCCGTGATCCCGCCCGTTATCAATGTTTCCCGTCACTGGATCCCTCTCGCCACATCCCTCTCGTCGCCTCGCCACATCCCTCTCGTCGCCTCGCCACATCCCTCTCATCTCCCCGTCCCTCCGTCGTTCGATCCCTTTCGGCTCCACATCCCTTCCGTCGACACCACTCTCTCGTCGCTCTCTCTCTCCCGTCGTTCGAACCCTCCCTTCAGTGATCTTTCCCGTCTCCCTCCTCCTCACTTACCTTCCCCCTTCCCCCCAGATACCACCTCCTCCACTAGTACCTTCGTCCTGCCGGTCGCCCTACTTTCCCTTGCCGGTCGCCCTACGTCCCCCCACCCGCAGCCCTCGCTTCCCCTCCCGTCGCCCTCGGCGTCGCCCACGCGCCCCATGCGTCGCCCTCGCTTCGCGTCCCGTCGCCCTCGCTTCTCATCCATCGCGTTCCCCGTCCTCCTCACTTCCCCTGCCCGTCGCCGCTCCCCGTCGCCCTCGCTTTCCCCTGCTGTTTCCCTCGCGCCCCCGCCCAGCGCCTTCCCCGTCGCCCTCACTTCCGCTGCCCGTCTTCCTTGCTTCCGCTGCCCGTCTTCCTTGCTTCCGCTGCCCGTCTCCCTTGCTTCCCCTGCCCGTCTTCCTTGCTTCCCCTGCCTGTCGCCCTACTTTCCCCTGTCCGTCCCCCTCGCTTCCCGTCCCATCGCCATCCCCGCCCCCCTCGCTTTCCCTCCCCGTCGCCTCGCTTCCCTTCCCAAAGCCATTCCCGTCGCCGACGCTTCCCCTCACATCACCACATACCTCCATACACTTCACCACGCATCTCTGCCATTCATTCGCTCACACACCCGCCTACTTCCCCACACGTACCGCCCTCCCTCCTTCCCGGTCAATTCTTCCCTCGTATCTCGCTCTCCTTCCTTTCCGCACACTCTCCGCTTCCTTCCCTATATACCCATCTCTTTCCTTCCTTCACTTTCGACCCTCCCCCATTACACCTTCCTCCATCCATCCCCCGATTTTTCCACTTCATTCCCCCTACTTTCCTTCTTTCAGCCCCTGACTTTCTACCCTGTCTACCTCACCCCACGTACCTCTCTCCATCTCCTGATTTACCCTCACATCCCCCCCACCCAACTCCTCAAACCTTAGATAACCCCGCTTATTCCCCTCGCTTACCGCACTCCACCCCTTAGCTAACCCCCCTCATTTCTCTCACGTACCTCTCCCCACCCCTTCGCTAACCCCCCTCATTTTCCCTACTCAACGCCCTGCATACCCCAATCTACCCTCCCAAGGGAGCTGCATGGAGGGAAAGAAGAATGGAGGAAGTGGCAGGAGGAGGCATGGGCAGAGTTGTGGGAAGACAAAGAGAGGGAAGGAGGTGTTCTAAAGTCGACTCAATAATCACCTCCAGGGGGACTGAAAGAATGGAGGAAGTGGCAGGAGGAGGCATGGGCAGAGTTGTGGGAAGACAAAGAGAGAGAAGGAGAGGAAAGAGTATTGGAAGGGAAAGAAAAGGGGAGACAAGGAGGGGGAGGCATGAGAGGGGGGGTGGGAGGGCAAGGACGATAGCAGGTACAGATGCTTCCCTCTCTTCCCCTGCCAGTCGCCCTCGCTTCCCCTTGAAGTGAGAGAAGGGGGCATGGGAGGGCCAGTCGCCCTCGCTTCCCCTGCCCGTCTCCCTCCTCCCCCCACTCACCACACACTTCCCTCGCATACTGCCCCCCAACCCACCAGTTGCACCCTTCTGTGTCCCCGCTTACTGCCTTCCTTCCCCCACGAACCCCCCTCCCGGCCCCCAACTTACCATCCTCCTTCCCTCCTCATTTCCCTCACACTCTCTCTCCTCCCTTCCCTCTTTGCCTATCTTCTCCCTTCCCTCTACATTTCTCTCACCCACCCTATCTCCCTGCCTCCTACCTTTTATTGCACCCCCCTATCTTCCACCCTCCCTATATTCCACCCTCCCTATCTGCCACCCTTCCTTTTTCCCAACCACCCTATCTCCCACCCTTCCTTCATCCCACCCTCCCTTTTCCCACCCTCCCTTTCTCTCACCCTCCCTTTTCTCCCACCCTCCCTCTCTACCACCATATTTCCCACCCTCCCTTCTCACTGCCTCCATATCTCCCTGCTTCCTATCTTTGACCCACCAAATATCGTGCTCAATTCCATATTTCTCTATCTTCCTATTTCCATATGTCCCTCCCTATACCCGTTCCTTCCAGAAGTGATGGGCTTACTGTGCTAGCACACGTCACGCACTGCCCTAGCACGGGTTACGCACTGTCCTAGTGCAGAGGGGTAGCAGGCCAAAGGAGGGGGCAAGGATGGGATGTGGAAAGGGGAAGAGAAGAGGTGGAAGGGAAGAAGTCAGCAGATGTGAGGGCTGACAAGAGGTAGAGAGGTGAAGGAAAGGGGAGTAATTTTTTATGCACCTTAGAACGACTTTTAAGGCGCTATTAAAAAGAAAACCATCCTCATCCAGGGCTTGCAACACAGGAGAGTCAACACATCAACCTACTGCCATTCCCATCGTTGCCTCTTTGAATCTGACTGCAAGTTTCTTGTTGCATTCGATATCATTAATGATTGCATGTGATACAGATCTCCCCAATTACACACCCTCACTGAGATAAGTAGCATCCCATAACCTAGCTGACAGCACCATGAAACCTCTCCTTTCACCATGCAGCTGGATCTAACCCCATGCAACAAAGTCACACTAACTTCTCCACACCAACTTCTCCAACACACTTACCGTACTTCCTGTGTTGCTTACTACTCCACTCTTCCAAAGACTCTACGCAGCAATGGCATTCACCATGGTAATGGAGGGGTTCCTCCAAGCAGCAGGCACCGCATTGAACCCATACCCACCGTTCTTCAGCTTCCCAATCATGAACTGCATGAACGCCTTGGCGATCTTGCCGCCAGTCACGCCAGTGAGCGACTTGCGAATGAACCCAAACTCCATGGAAACCATCGCAGGGGTCTTAGCTCCGGCCTTCCAGATGAAATCCACGCTCGACCAGGACCCGTCGGCTGCGGGAGGCGCGCCCACGAGCGCCGCGCCGGGGATCCACGACGGCGGCGCGACGGCGACGCCGTTGGCGTTCTTGAGCGCGGCAATCACTCGCTTCGGGTTGTTGGGCTTGCGGCGGTTGTAGACGACGCTGCAGCCGCCGGTAAACGCGTAACCGATGGCGCCCTTGGTCTTGAGCACGGCGGCGCACACGGCGCTGGTCCCCTCCACCTTGGTGAGGCCGGCATACGTCATGGCCGTGCCGTCCGTGCCGTCGCCATAGCCCGAGACGGCCTTGGACCACATCGTCTTCACGATCGCCGTGGATCCGGACTTGTCGCTGCGCGCCACGCGGGTAATGGCGCCCGCAACCTTGCCTGTCGCGCCAGGCACGCCCGACCAGGCGGAGATAGCGCCGCTGTAGATCTGATACGCCTGGGTGGCCGTGAGCACGACGCCGGGCTTGGCGTTTACGAAGAAGCTGAAGGTGGAGACGCAGAGCGGCACGGTGATCTTGCCGCTGGCGACGACGCCGCCCTCTTGTGCAGCGGTCATGGGATCATCGGAGACGGCAATGAGGTAGGTGCCGCCGTTGAAGCCAGTGATTCCGGCGCCTGATCCCACCGAGTCGTATGCAACGACGTCCTGGGAGATTCCCGGCTTGGCCGCGTTCCATGCCTTGACGAGCGCCCCTCCAGCCTGGAATGTGGCATATGTCACGACGGAGGGACGTTTTTAGGATGATTTCATGCGACGGGGTGGATTTAGTTAGTACCTGCTGGAAATAATGCTGATGTTGAGAGATAACATTTTCGTGTGAAGAAACTTACAGGTGCGAAGGTTGACGCGCCGCCCATGAATCCAGCGAGCGAATGTGACGCAAACGATGCAATCAGAAAAGCGACTGCGAGGGTTCCATAGTAGGTGTGAGTCATGATGGTGCGATTGGCAGTGGCAGGTGGAACAATGACGAGAGGATTCGAGTTTGATTCAAGTGTTCACACAGGTTGTGAGAAATTTGGTGAGTGATTTATTGCAATGGACTGAAGCAATTTATGCTTCAGAATTTGGAATTGCGCGCTTCGTGAGTTTGGCGGCTCCTGGGGCGGGGAGGGGAGGAGTTTCGAGTAACACGCAGCCTTGCGAAAACTGGCATTTCCAAGAGTTAGCAAGGGCCATGTCTGTGCATAGCTCACGGATTGGTTGCGACGAATTACATGAGTTCGCGTAAAGCCGCCGTTTCTTACGGTGGACGGTACTTTGCATCAACGATTGGTCTGCGAGAAAAACAAAATACATTTACATGCATCCGCGATGGGGTTTGTTCCTTTTGTGTACGTTTCCAGCGTCGGCACTTACTGGGCAGTTACAGAACTCTCGTAGAACAGGCAATTCCTGGTCGGTTGCTACAGTACCACTGTTATTGTGCGACTCGAATTGGAGGAATCTTTTGACATGGAATCTTTTATTATTCTGCAGCATCTCCTTGACAACACGCACACACCTCCCATGGTCGGCGCGGACGAGACAACGTGACAAATGTCACATTCTACTGGACTTGATTGGAGTTACTTCCATTGTTATTCTTAGTATCATTAATATAGAAAAACATGATTTCTTAGTATGGTTGCATTAAAACATGAAAACAGAATATTATCTCGTTGCCATGGAAGTTGTCAGCAGCTTCGCAGCTACCAACGTGTATAAATTTGCCGTATGAAAATACATCTGAAGCTGTCAATTGAAGCCTTACACTGAGCTCTATCCGGGGATGATTATAATGTTCAACGTCCTTTTTAGTTCAAGGCATTTGGTTGCGTTGGAGTAAGCGGGAATTAACTTAAGCATTCCCGAATGTGCAGCTGTATCGCACCCACTACTACCGAAACAACAACAGCAGCAGTATCGGATCAGCCTATAAAGTGCAAGAAGGTCAACATTCGCAAGTCAACAGTCGCGACTGTTGACCATCTGGACCGAACGGTTACACGGGAAGAATGGCAACAGGCGTAACTGTCTGCACAGTTAAATGCAGCAACCCGGTAACAAGAGAAGAGCAAGAGTCAGTGTTACTGTAGAAATGCATGTAAAACAGTTACAATTGTCAAAACATATTCATATGTTCTTAGTTCTGCTAAGCTACAGTGAGGTGCTCAATATAGAGTACAACCCCAGTTAGGGTTGTTGGGCTGAGAAAATCCCTTAGGATATTTGCATGACTAAACTCTGAGTAGGAACAATGTAGTAGCGGAGGCGTTTAATGATAGGCCTGTGAACCACCTTGCGCTGGTATGTGAGGGCAAAGTAGATTGATAAAGACAAAGATATACAAGCTTTTATAAGAGTACAAGGAATACGAAGAGATACAGTTAATAACCGTTTTACTATTGCTGTTGCGGTTCGATACAGTGACGACTCGGGCAACTGCTCAATAACGAGTCAGCTGTTTGTCCTTGCTGTCGTGCTGTAATTGTCAGGTCAAAGGTCGCTGACCTTTGACTTTCGCGTAACCTCCAGCAGTTGCTCAACCTCCGAGGGTTGACTCGCTGATGCTTTGCTGTGCTTCGCTTCGTTTATGACTTAGTGTTTCGACGCGACAGAGGCGCTTAAATCACTTGTTTCCAACACTCCCCTTCGCTTCTGGAGTGTCGCTGCTGGTGACGTGGCTCTGTCCAGTCAGCAACATACAGTACTCGAACTTCTGCTTTTTGAGTTTCTTAGTCAAGTAATCAGCTGCCATCTCGGACGTGGGGCAGTAAGACAGCTCGAGTCTCCCCTTCTCGATCTCGTCCTTCACGAAGAAATATCGCAGGACGATGTGCTTCGTCCTGTTCGCGAATCCATTTTTGTTGGCTATGCGAATTGCTGACTGGTTGTCGCAGAACAGGGAGAAGCTGGGTAACTGAGCCAGCTTCGCTTCCTCCAGGAGTTCGCGAAGGTACAGTCCTTCCTTGGTGGCTGAGCAGAGTGCGATATATTCTGCTTCAGCTGAGGAGAGGGCGATTAACTCCTGCTTGCTCGACTGCCAGGAGATAGGTCCGATAGGTTCGAGGCGATAGATGTAGCTGGTGCGCGAGCGTCTGTTGTCGGAGTCGCCAGCGTGATCGGCGTCGACGTCTTCCTGGATGTTGAGACCGAGGTATTGCGTGACGGTTGATGACACTGTGAGAGTGAGGTCCTGCTGCAGCTCCCCTTCGAACCAAGTAGTGACGCTGTCAGTTGAGCCGATGTAGAGCAGATCGTCCACGTAGACAATGAGCAGAATGTAGTCGTCACCTTTCGTGAGCTGGTACATGCCCTGGTCGTGTGGTAGCTGTCGGAATCCGATGCGAATAAGTCGAGCGTGTAGATACTGCTGCCACAGTCTTGGAGCCTGTTTGATGCCGTACAGGGACTTCAGCAGCTGACAGACTTGGTTGGGCTCTCCGTTGGAGCCGTGTGGAAGTTCGACGAAATTTTCAGCGTCAACAAGTGCGTAGAGAAATGCATTGGCGACGTCAATTTGCCGCAGCTTCTTCTTCTTCATGGCGGCGATCGCGAGAAGAATTCGAAGTGAAGTGTGTCGGCTGACCGGGGCGAACGTCTCGGTGAAGTCACGTCCGTGCTCTTGGTCGAAACCGTGCACGACCCAGCGCGCTTTAAACTTGTCAATGGTGCCGTCAGCCTTTGTCTTCACAAGGAAGACCCATTTTCCGGTGAGTACCGTTTTGTTGCGTGCCACGCCGATGGGAACGACTTTCCAGGTGTTCCGTTCTTCCAGTGCTTTCAGCTCCTTGTCCATGGCTTCGCGCCATTTTTCCTTATGCTCCCCCCCCAGAGCCTGCTGAACTGTGGAAGGCTCCTTAGGAATCTCCGTGCCGTGAACCGCGGTGACGAGGCCAAGTATCTGGAGTCCGCTCTGTGTGTAGCGGGGGAGAGTTGTGTCCTCGGGAAAAGCTGCTTCGTCTCCCGCTTCTGGGTCAGGTATGAAATTGGGCCCTATGCGTTCTGCTTCGTTGGTGTTGAATCTTGCAGGTGTAACGTAACTGTTGTCGGCGAAGTGGTAATATACTTCGGCGTTGATGCTTTCGCGAGGATTTTCGTCATCCATTTGGGACGTCGACGGAGCAGTAAGGTGCGGAGATAACTTTAGCAACGGGAGCTAGACTACGGGCTAGGCACGGATGCTCGTGTGATCTCTGCGTTCGTTCGTTCCTTAGTCGTTTCCAAGTGCTAACACTGCTTGC